AATTTTGTTTACCTGTAGTGCACCGACCTTTGCATTCCAGTTGCCAAATACCTACTTTAAGCCTGACAGGGTTTCACTGTTCACGCATGGTTTCTTCGTAGTTTCTGTGCCTTTCAGTGGCGTAGCAAGGTTATTGTTGTAAAACAAATTGTTTGTGTGTGTGTGTGGGGGGGGGGGGGGGGGGGGGTATAGCCGTGAAAAGGGCACTCACCCATCCTTGCTGAAAGGTAGACAGCGTTTTGTCACCGGTCACTTGGCCTCCTTAAAGTCAAAAAGTAATAACCCTATGCAGACTGGTCCGCCAACAATTAAGATGCATGGCTGCCTCGATCAGCAAAGATAATAAATTTCAAGAAAATGACGACCAGAATTTACTTTTGGTTCTTGATTGATTCTAGTGTATAGTATCAAACTTTACGGCGATATAGTTTCATGACGACACATTTTAAAGATCTTTTCCATAACTAAAAAGGATGTCGTCAGTGATGGTAACCAATACTGTCTTGAGGTGGTAGCCAATTTAGTGTTTCTGATATATGAGAACAAAGGGTAACATCGTGCAGTTTTGGAATCAGCAGGTTATAAGAGACCAAGAAACCACCCTTCCCCCCCAAAAAAAATGCTTGAATTGTAAAACCGGGTGATCAGTCGTCGGACATCTTGCCCGTACGTCCTGTCAACGGCAAACGTGGACGTCATTTTGAAAGCCATATTGGATTTCAAAAAAGGAAAGTGGGCCAATCTTTGAGTGACCATTAAAATAAATATGAAAATATAAAACACTGGATTATATATCACACTGTTAGAAAGGGCCTATTAAGTAGCACGTATATTATGCTGAAGGCCATCTTGGCGGCAATTTCAGATACCTCAATTTCCTCAAGAATGCCGAGGTAGCATTATACGGATTCGGAATCAGCAGGTCTAAAAGACCTAGAAACCATCAAGAGCCCGTACGTGAACGGTTAAAAACCGGGTTAGGTCGTTGTTGGACTATATTGCGCTTTGTGCTTGCTTACTTATGTCAGTGCTTGTCTTATTCTTGTTTGATGAATTATTGTTCTGGTTGTGTTAAGCTAAGGTTGATCAATACCTATTTAGTTTTCAAAGAGGTCTGTTCAACCGAATCGGGATGTCCATACTTCATTATGTTCAGGGAAGTGGGATCTCCACCATTACCCTCAAATTTGTCCGTAAGAAGAACACAAAAGATATTGTTTCAATTTCCGATTCCATTTTACAAATTCCATTTTCTAAAAGGTTGGTGAGACTCGTCCGATTATAAAATAAAACCGGGGCATGAATGACTTGAAGCAGTTAACTGGGGTCCCATTCAGCCTTTTTTCGTCTGTCGTGCGATAAAGTAATTTGTTGAACAAAATATGAGTGACGAAAAATTCCAAATCCAGTCTTTGACCACAATTAATTTAAGACCTGGCAGGAAAACCGCTTTGCCTTTCGTTTCTTTCATTATTATAGCTAGGTATAGGCTACTGTATGTTTTCATCATCACAAAAGCATGTATCCGGGTTCAGACAAACTTAACGCACCGCCAGAATTCCTTTCCATTCATAATGGAATCCCTGACCTCCCTTCCGCCAAGAAAAAGAAAATCAAAGAAAGATCAGGTTCTGCATAACAATTTGGTTGACATTGGTGATCACAAACCGTGAAGTAAAAACCGTCATAAAAGCCCTCGGTCGATAACAAGTCTGTCACATGCACAGTGGGCGCCGCTTAGCTGTTGACAAACATCAGGTAAGTCCTTGTCACTCAGTTTTCTGAAAAATCTCTCAAACGATATTTTGTTTCAAAGTTTGTATTGTGCGAAGCTGTATCATAGCAGGGACATGGGGATTTTTCCTATTATACCTCTACTAAACCGTACGTACTAGACTGTCCGTCTATCTGTGTCCATCTGTTGGTCTGTCAATCGGTCGGTCTGTTTGTATGTGTCTGGATGTTTGTTGGTTTTTCTGGCCATCTTTATATGTGTATCTGTCCTATGGTCTGCTGTTTGTGTGTTTGTCCGTTTTCAGATGTGCGTTTGTTTTTGTTTTCTTTTAACAATATTGTCCAATTATGCGCAAAATTTGAGACAAACAAAACTTAGTGTACAAAAACTCCACAGGGTTGTATAGGGGCGTGGCTAACTCGCAAACGGCAATAGGTCAATTGTGCGTACAAACCCGGGTAGGCCATAGGCCAAAATCTGTATCAGGTCTAGAAGTTGAGGTTCGTCTTAAGATTTTGGTGTCAGCTTGCAATAAGGTCAACTTTACTAATTCGATAGTGCTGAATCTGAATCTGGCTGTTCACATTGGCCCAAATTGCACATGAGCGTTATGACGTCATTTTTTCCTCATGATTTTGCCCATTTTTGGTCAAAAATAGTATTTGTGCCATAACTTCTATGTTTTAAGTTTAAATGCTTTCAAAGTTGATACAACACATGAAAAGGAAGTCGGCATGAATATTATACGTCATTATTTAACCCTAAAAGGGCCGGGTTATTTTGACCATTCTCTCAGCCGGGGGGGGGGGGGGGGGGTTCGCCCCTTAAGATCTCGGCCATCGAGTGACGGTACCTGCATAGAGCAACTCCTCATGAACATACCCAAGAAATTTCGTGAATATAGGTCAAAGGGTTTTGGAATTATGGATAATAAATTATTCATATGTACGAATGGTAATTCTGCTCTGTGTATACGACGTATATGGGAAAATTAAGTTTTCACGGCGCGTAGCGCCGGAAAATTTTGGTGTGATTTTTATGTTTTTGGTATCTAAAGGTGCGCAAGGCTCGAGGCTAAAAGTCATAACAGCTCAGGTCGCAAATTTTTTTTTTCAAAGCTATCGCGTTAAAAGTTGAGGGGGGGGGGGGGCGGATTGGCCCGTTAAGGTTAACGCGCGACACGGTGCTTAAAGTTTATTTTTGTAGAATCGATCGTTTCAAACATGAGCATGATGAGACTCTGACGTGGCGTTATAAGGATTTATATTAAATTTAAGTACCACTTGTCACAAGTAAATCACAAGTCATCCAGTTTCCAGTAAATGAGTGACACACTATTTTTTCTCCATTTCTTTACCCAGAATACATGTTTTTGTGGGCGTAAAACTGGGCTTCCGGAATCCAAATCGAAAAGGCATAATAAAAAGCATTTTGTGTGTGTGAGTTTGTCTTACATACGCAGTGTGGACTTCCGAACAAAAGACGTCCACATAATGTAGGTAGCACCGACGTTGTGTGGACTTGCCCCACGTCCACACAGTGTTTCCCCATTTCTGGAAAACAGGTTTAGAGGCATTTTTGGGTTAGGTTTATCCGTAGCAGAATGAAGAGAAACACTAAAGGGAATCATAGAAAAAAAATTGGGTTGAAAGAGTTTTCACAGTTTGAGAAAAATGAGTTTTTTCACTGGTTTTTCTTAACTACACGAAAGCAATGGAAAGTCCACACTAGTCATGTGAAACAAGTATGGGTGTGTTTTTGTGTGTGGGTGTGTGTGTGTGTGTGTGTGGGGGGGGGGGTATAGCCGTGAAAAGGGCACTCACCCATCCTTGCTGAAAGGTAGACAGGGTTTGTCACCGGTCACTTGGCCTCCTTAAAGTCAAAAAGTAATAACCCTGTGCAGACAGGTCCGCCAACAATTAAGATGCATGGCTGCCTCGATCAGCAAAGATAATAAATTTCAAGAAAATGACGACCAGATCTTTACTTTTGGTTCTTGATTGATTTTAGTGTATAGTATCAAACTTTACGGCGCTATAGTTTCATAACGACACATTTTAAAGATCTTTTCCATAACTAAAAAGGATGTCGTCAGTGATGGTCACCGATACTGTCTTGAGGTGGTAGCCAATTTAGTGTTTCTGATATATGAGAACAAAGGGTAACATCGTGCAGTTTTGGAATCAGCAGGTTATAAGAGACCAAGAAACCACCCTCCCCGAAAAAAAAATGTTTGAATTGTAAAACCGGGTGATCGGTCGTCGGACATCTTGCCCGTACGTCCTGTCAACGGCAAACGTGGACGTCATTTTGAAAGCCATATTGGATTTCAAAAAAGGAAAGTGGGCCAATCTTTGAGTGACCATTAAAATAAATATGAAAATATAAAACACTGGATTATATATCACACTGTTAGAAAGGGCCTATTAAGTAGCACGTATATTATGCTGAAGGCCATCTTGGCGGCAATTTAAGATATCTCAATTTCCTCAAGAATGCCGAGGTAGCATTATACGGATTCGGAATCAGCAGGTCTAAAAGACCTAGAAACCATCAAGAGCCCGTACGTGAACGGTTAAAAACCGGGTTAGGTCGTTGTTGGACTATATTGCGCTTTGTGCTTGCTTACTTATGTCGGTGCTTGTCTTATTCTTGTTTGATGAATTATTGTTCTGGTTGTGTTAAGCTAAGGTTGATCAATACCTATTTAGTTTTCAAAGAGGTCTGTTCAACCGAATCGGGATGTCCATACTTCATTATGTCCAGGGAAGTGGGATCTCCACCGTTACCCTCAAATGTGTCCGTACGAAGAACACAAAAGATATTGTTCCAATTTCCGATTCCATTTTCCAATTTCCATTTTCCAAAAGGTTGGTGAGACTCGTCCGATTACAAAATAAAACCGGGGCATGGATGACTTGAAGCAGTTAACTTGGGTCCCATTCAGTCTTTTTTCGTCTGTCGTGCGATAAAGTAATTTGTTGAACAAAATATGAGTGACGAAAAATTCCAAATCCGGTCTTTGACCACAATTAACTTAAGACCTGGCAGGAAAACCGCTTTCCCTTTCGTTTCTTTCATTATTATAGCTAGCTATAGGCTACTATATGTTTTCATCATCACAAAAGCATGTATCCGGGTTCAGACAAAGTTAACGCACCGCCAGAATTCCTTTCCATTCATAATGGAATCCCTGACCTCCCTCCCGCCAAGAAAAAAAAAATCAAAGAAAGATCCGGTTCTGCATAACAATTTGGTTGACATTGGTGATCACAAACCGTGAAGTAAAAACCATCATAAAAGCCCTCGGTCGATAACAAGTCTGTCACATGCACAGTGGCCGCCGCTGAGCTGTTGACAAACATCAGGTAAGTCCTTGTCACTCAGTTTTCTGAAAAATCTCTCAAACGATATTTTGTTTCAAAGTCTGTATTGTGCGAAGCTGTATTAGGGACATGGTGATTTTTCCTATTATACCTCTACTAAACCGTACGTACTAGACTGTCCATCAATTGGGCTGTTCCAGGACCTAGTGTCCCTTTAACTTTTATAAAAACATGAGAAGAAATTAGGAAATTAGGGGGAAAAAGTGAATTTGAACGTTATGAAATTCGGACTTTATTTCCCGTTTAAAAAATCCTCCAAATCCTCAGGAAGGAAAAGAATTGGGGTGCAAAACCGAGATTCGAACCCGCAACCTTGCGATGCAAAATCGTCACGTCTATCGGCTGAGCTGTCGCACTGCTCATCAAAACGTGGGGAAACAAATAATCATATACCTGCGTGCGTATCATAAAAGTATCGTAGAGAGCGCTAAGCAACCATCTATGTGGATGTCGTTTGGGAGAAAAAAAATCGCCGCCCGGCCAGGCATCCATCGCAAAAATCAGCTGCGCCAATATCTGTCCCGAAAATTGACCAAAATAAGCCCATAAGTGTCCCATACCATATTTCGTGCTTTTTCACAAATAAATTCACGAAAACAAAGTTTGTGAAGCATTTCATTTATTTATTAGGTATTTTATTTGAAACTTAGGGGTGTCGTTTTTTGGCAATTTTTTGGGGACCGACCGACCGACCGACCAACACCAAAAGGACTTGTAGAAGCTCCTGCCAGAACTTAAAAACCTAGTCATGGTGACCTCGGCACAGCCACTAATTTGAAAAATTTCACATTCCTGCGGAAGACAGGGTAATAACCATTACTTTCATTAACAGGCTTTCAACTTGCCCAAAGCAACTCGAGATGCTCAATGACTGTAGGCCGAACTGTGAAAAATGACCGAAGTTGCAAGAAATTCGTCAACGTAAGTTTGCTTTTACGTCAACAGTGTGATGACATGTTACGAAGCGCTTCCATCATTTTGGAATACAAGATGTACTTTTTCGTTCACTTAACCAGCTTGGGAATTCGAAAGGAGGGAGGGGGCGGGGGCTGGACACCACACGACACTAGGGGGCGCTATTCATGATACAAATGTACATCTTATACTTACGCCCCAAAACGGCGCACTTCAAAAATGCTGTACAAGTAATATTGTATAGATTTTGATTATGTCTACTAGGGAAGTTTGACAAATACCTCAAAATCCACCTGTTTTGTTTTTCACCACGAAAAAGTGGGGGGGGGGGCTGACCCAATGGCCATTCCCTCCTGGTAAAAAAAAAGTGTTTGGGAAGAGCTATAAAGTCGGACGGTGATTTTTCTTTTTTTCTTCACAATTCCCTCCATATTAGGCCTGCAATTTGAAAAGTTTTAATAAACATTGTATATATGTCTCCAGACAACGGAGGACGGGTATGGGCTCCTTTGATATCGCCTTGAAATTCCTTTGATATCGCCTTGAAACACACTATGAACCATTAAAACTGGGCTCACTTGTCAAAAAGTGTTTGCTATAAACATAATGGCCTGTCATGGTACTGAATCAAGAAATACACCAAAAAACAAAAAAACAAAACACGGAGTTGCTCTTGCAAAAAAGGAAATGTTCGTGTTGAAGCAACGGTAAGACTTTAACTTCCGCCGGCCTTGAATGACACCACGGTTCTGGTAATGAATATACAGGGTGGTTAAAAAAAAAGGACACCCACCTTTAATTTTCACCTACTTAATGAACTTATTTCAAATATTTTTTCACATAGTAGTAAAGTATAGGCCTTTAACCATGCATGGTGAAAAAAGCTTAGTGAAAGTCGCAAAAATAGTGATATTATGCTAATTTGAATATAAGTCACCAAAATCAGCCTTGTCCACGGGTTATTCTATGTAAATTGGACGTTTTCGTAGTTCATAAAAATTAAAAAACCTTCCCACCAAAATATATTTTGCCCTGGAAGCTTTTATTGAAGCTGTCCAATTATTCATGTCAGTGTTAAGATCATCTACTCAATGAGCTGTCGGCTTAAGTTCATTGTTGCATAACATTACATAACATAACAATCAAAATGTCATGCCCTTTCAAAAGAAGCTCCGATAGCTGAGCTCAGTCAAGCGAAGGGAACGTATACCTTTGTGGACAAACAGGTTTCGCACATGAAATGTTCAAATTAGCATAGCTCAACGACAAAATGTGCAAAAGCAACGATTTTTTTCGTCACATTTGCTTAAAGGCCAGTACTTTAATAGCTGTTAATCGACAATTTAAAATGATTTTCAAAAATAGGTGAAAATTGCGGTCAAATGTGGGTGTCCTTTTTTTAAAAACCACCCTGTACAGACAAAGCTTGAAACTAAACAGGTAAAATGATGATTGAATTTTACACACGGATGCGTTTCGATAATTTTAATAGATAAATACTCTGTTATATCATTATGTCCTCAGGGGACGTTTGATTGATGGCGATATGGACGGCCCGGACAGTCCTGGATCACTTATCCATCGACTACATGATGGGGTCATGAGGGCCATTCGTCCTGGCTCGTACGCAAGGTATTATTTCCCCAAATACGGCCAGATACCAATTCAGTGTTTTAATGTTGTACTAAGTGAAATCTCGATAAGTCAAACTCTGATAACACAAAACAACTGATATTAAGTCAAACAAAGAATCCATTCCCTTCAGAAGTATACTCTCTAAATTCTAAAGAGTGAAAATTCACTCCATTCGAGTGAAGATTCACTCCCACAGTCTGAAACTAGGTACTAGACGTTTTAGCGTGAATTTCTTCAACCGTAAAGATCGAGGTTTCACTCGAGCTTCGACTGAAGTGGTTCATTTTTCAGACTATGTCAATCGAAAATGAGAGTGATTTTCACTCTAAAACGTCTAGTCCCTTATTTCACTCTTTGGAATTTAGAGAGTAACAATGATATATTCAACCCTGCTTAACTCAAACCTCTGCTTAAGTCAAATTTTGAACCTGCTCCCTTGAGGTTTGACTTGTTATTACATTTATTTACCCAGGGTATGCCCTGGTTTAACAGTTTAAAACTAGTTTTCATTGCGCATAAACTTTCTATATTATACGTTATCCCGCGAACGCGAGTAGAACACGGAATATCTTCAAGTAAACTTGAATCCTCGATCCTGATTGGTCGATTCATGGCAACAACAGTGTGACATAAGGAATATCACGTTTTGAACACCCGAGGGACGCATATCACCCGAGGCGACTATACTTCTGTCTTGGATTCTTTGAATGTTAATGCAATCAACGTGAACTCACATGCATGTCGCCATGCTAGCAGTATGCTCAAAACAGCTGATCGTCTGCTAGTTCGCTGCTCAAACTCATGCGTACGTGTGAAAACATGATGAAAATAGCGTGGGTAACAACGATACAAGTGTTTCACACCGTACGCACAGGGCCATCAACGGGTGTGTTCGTTTAGCTCACCCGGGTCGACACGGGTCAGCCCCGTGCCAACCTTGTCCCCAGGGTGTCGAGCAGTACGCGCCCACCACTACCTGCTCTCTCACCCTGGTATTGGATCATTTGCGTGTGCAAGATTTTTGAACACGTATGCAAATGAGGAATAGTCTGGTGCCTGCCTGTGCGTTTCATTTGCGTTTGTTTTGTATGCGGTGTCTGGGGTAAAAACAGAATCAATTCGTCGCAGCGCAAGCATGGCGTGAGTTACGAAAACACGATTTTATTTTAACTAAACTGTTACGATCTTAACAAGCCAACATGCAGTATCACATTTCGTATAAATATTAGCAAATTGGAAAGGGAAATGAATATTTTCGAGGAGGCGTGGACGAATGATCGCGAAAAACACCAAGTACACGATCTAAATCCATTTCTAGCCAATTGCGGTATCGAATCAGGATACAGGAAGAAAGTTTCCTATCCAGGGCTTACTATTGGAAACGAGGTTGGAAATAAGGTAAGCACTGGGGACGAGGTTGGCCCCGTGCCGTTCAATTAGCTCTGACGTCATTCTCGGGGCTCACCTGGGTCAGCCACCTCAGACCTTGCTTGTGGAGCAGAGTCCGTGGTGGAAATACGTCACACGCATGCGTTGTTCATTCCCTAGAGAGGCGGCCGGACAGCGGAAATCTGAAATGGACTTAACATTGACTTTATTTGAAGTCTAAAGGTAATCATTATTTTATTGAGTTCATTGAGACTTTTAAGGCTATAAATTCAGCCCAACTTTTTTGAGTTTTGCAATAGACTAAAAAGCAGTAAATCTCAAATTAATTAAGACCCAATCCGAAACGGGCGTTTTGTCTGTGGATACGTACACGGCTTAGGGCGTCACGTGAGGATCGTGATGACCCGCGGTTGAGCGTCCAATTAGCCCGGCTGTCGTGGCTGATCCGTCTGCCTTTACCCGTGTTGACCCGGGTGAGCTACACGAACGCACCCTAATAACAACCTAGACACGAGATTTGCTATCTTTATTGCGTCTGTGAGCAAAATACTGCGCGTTTTGTTAGAATCATGGTCAATAAATCGTCACAGGCGCCGCGTGGCGCAGCTGTTTTGCTCACACAGTGTAAAAACAGTAAAATAATGTCGTGTCTAGGTTTTATGTCTAGTACTCGTGCGGTAGTGCCATGACCGTTGAAAATGCGCCTGTTCGGGAAGAGGCAAATAGCTTGGCCGCTGGTTGCTTGCAGTATTTTTTAGAACATGCTCGTGCAAACAACGCATACGATTCGACGGGTGTTTTCACAGGTAATGATTGTTTTCACAGGTTGAACGTACACTCACAGGTTTTGGAACTCATTTTACTCACACTGAAAAAAAAAATCTTTTAACTCAATTCCCTTTAGTTTTTCTCTTCATTTTACCACGATAAACCTAACCCAAAAATGTCTCTCAACCCATTTCTCAGAGAGGGAGAACCTTGTGTGGACGAGGGCAAGTCCACACACTACTAAAATGTGTATTCTTGTGAAGTCATTTCTTTGTTCTCGTGTACTAAAGTTTTCGAGTTTGAAAGTGTACTTTCAAAATTTTAACCAGAATGAATTTCCTGAGCTGAAATTTGGATTTAATATCCCTTACATAAAATACTTCAATTTGCGACGGATCAACCTACCTTGGAAATTCCTAGTTTTTGAGTAAAATCCATATATCTATTTCATGATAACCTTGTGGAGACGTATTCACCTATAGAAATTGCCGTGAGGGAGACGTATACAATCTTTTGTTCCCTATTTATTGTGCATATGTCTCCAGAGGCACGTGTAACAGATCAACGTCGCTGCTGCCTGGTTTATGCGTTCTGACCAGAGCGACTTGGGGTGATCGAACAAAGGGAACAATGCCGCCCCACTTTTCCTCCTTTGAAATCCAGAATTCTGGAGTGAAGTTTTTTAGAAAAAGGACAATGGGTCCACAATGCCATCACCCCACTTTTCCTTCTGACTGGACCCGTCCGGACATTTTTTGTTCGGAAGTCCACACAGTGAATCTAATGCTTGTACACATAAATTCCTGGAATTATAGTACAGATACCAGAAACATGAAAATCCAGCGATCCCTGTTTTTTGCTATAGGCAAATGTTTTGAGTTGCATTAGACCTGTATAATTACAGGTCTAAAAGTACATGTACTTATAGAAACGTTCATTGCAGTGAGGTGTGCATGTTATTTCTTTCCTTAGCATTCACAGCGATGACATTGAAATGAATATGACCTCCAGTGATGTAGGTGGATCTCCTACTACTGGGCTCGTCGGGCTCGGAACGTCTGCAGATAATATGGACGTCAAGTACAAATCGGTAAACGTACTCCTTAAACCTAAGTTCCATCTCCTTTAACTTAAATGACATCCGAATATAATTAATGCAACTAAAAGTAGTGTGTGATGTAAAGTTGTAGAATGCATCTTTAAATTGAACGCTAATCGAGAAGTTTTAGATGTCTCTTGTCGGATTAATTCAGTTTCGTTAGTTTGGTTAATATTTTTTTCTTATATTTTTACTATACAGAAACAAAAATTAAATTCTGAGAACAATTTAATTGGTTGGTATGGTCCGACATCTTACTACCGGGAAAAGATTCATTCTTTCATTTATTCAAACATTTATTTTAATATTCCTGATTATTTATTGTACAAAATGAACAATGAGTCTATGAAAAAACATTAATGAGAAACTGAGTAAGGAACCGTAACATATTAAATTTACCAACATGTAATGTAGATAATCTACAAATCTACGACTCGTTAACAAATAATACATTTTTAAAACAGCAATATGGTGGCATGTGCAGAAGCCAAAGGCTTATATTGCCATGCCAGGACAAAAAAACAAAAACAATTTACAAACATGAGAGGACAAACAAGAAACAAAGACAAGAACAGTTATCTGAATTCTATGCAGAGCGTAAATGAATTCAAGCGTGCCTGCCAAACTTGGAGCGAAAAGAAGAGAAAAAGAGAAAGAACAAAAAAGCAGTCGGGAGGAGGGAATTTGCGCGTTAGCGAGAGAATAGCTATAAAGGGGAAATCAATTCCGCTTTGAAGGAGTTCTTCAAAGATGAAGTCCAAATGGAAAAAAAGGGCTACAGCCCGGGCTCTAGCAAAGACTTTATTCTGGACTACGGCCTATACTTTTAAGATCAAAATAATCTGAGGCCGCGTATCGTTTATAATAATTATGTTATCTTCACTGGCCGATATTACAGGTATTTAAGTAATTGTTTCTGAGTCATTCGGCAAGACGAACATTAGGAAAGTATGGGGACGAACAAATGGTTCAGAAAAAAAATGCTGATTGGGATACCTCACATAAATGTACTATCTTGTTTTAATCGTACCAGTATATGACGATCGTCCCGTCTGAGAGCGAAGATGTCATCCTGGACACCCTGAGATCCCAGTGGGCCTTGAAACTTCCTAGGCTCCTCATCTGCATCCTAGGGGGTAAAGATTCTGATATGAAGTATGACTTGGAGAAAGTAATCTGTAAAGGTCTTGTTGAGACAGTTCTGAGTACGGGTGAGTACACTACAGACTCATGGCGTATCTATAGATTTTGAGACGGGGGAACCTTGATACTTCGTTTTCAGAAAGTATGGTTCAAAACTTTTGTTACGTTTGTAAAAATGGTTGTGAGGTGTTGTCGCTTTCATTTCCTTAAAACAATGGCCAAATCTCAACTGGGGGAGGAGGCAAGCTGGCTGTTCCCCTGCTGGATACGACATAGAATAAGTACAGTTTCAGCTGTCTTCATTTGCTAACCAATAAGGTTAACGTGCTGTACTTCAAATTGTTTCCCTCTTTGCAGGTTATTTAGTAACATTTTCGCCCAAATTGAATTGAAAATCTGGCAATTTCAAATATTGGCTTTGTTTTACTTTTGACGTCATTTTCCGGTTTTATTTTGAAGTGCGCAATACATTTAAAATGTGCTATTAGTTTAAATAAGTAAAAAAAGTACATAAGTATTACAGGTTAACATTGTGATTCGTTCAAGTAGGCTCCTTGTGGACACTTTTTCCGATTTTGTGCCTAATGTATAAAACTCCTTGTTTAAATTCCATTAATAGTTTTCCAAGATACATATTTGTTTCACCTTTCTTGTCTATTTAATCAGGGAACCTATGACTTTTAATAAGGGAATAAATGTGTGTAACACAATATTATAACACTCTGTTTAAGATAATTACCCTCGGCTTCGCCTCGGGTAATTATCACCCATCCAGACTCCCACCGGTCTTAAACAGAGTGTTTAATACCGACTAAACACATATTTATTCCCATTCATAAATACCTTTTCGGTAAAAAAAAAACCCCGAAATCTTTTCGGTCCAAAAATCAAAACAAGCCAAAAACTAGATGTTGCCAACCATTTTGTTCAACAATTTTACACCATGTTTTACGAAACACCCCTCTGACTATAATATGGAATGCCCCTCGACAACTCGTTACCTTATAAGGACTTTGGCGTACGCGTCGCGCGTACTGCGTGATGTCGCGCAAAACGCAGCTGCGTTTTGCGCGACATCGCGCAGTACGCGCGACGCGCACACCAATGTCCCTATAAGGTAACGAGTTTTCGAGGGGCATTCCATATTATAGTCAGAGGGGTGTTTCGTAAAACATGGTGTAAAATTGTTGAACAAAATGGTTGGCAACGTCTAGTTTTTGAATTTTTTTTTAATTTTTGGACCGAAAATGGGCGATAATTACTCTCGGCTTCGCCTCGGGTAATTATCGCCCATCCAGACTCAAACCGGTCTTAAACAGAGTGTTATAATACCTCCCAAACACACATTTATTCCCTTTTTATAATTATAGTAATAAGCCAACTGCGTTAACTTTTTAAACAAAATTCAGTTCTTTTATGAATTCCCTATAGTACTGTGATTAAATGAATTATTAAATGTGTACACATGAGCGTCGCCAGGAGGGGGCAAGGGGGCGCTTCCCCCCCCCCCCCGGAAAAGCGCCCACCAAAAAAAAAAGGAAAAAAGAAGACGATGTGCGAATTCATATTGCTGTTAATTTAATGCACATTTAACAACATTTGTACTTTCTCTAGCATATTCTCTTTATTATTTTTTCGAGTGCGTACGCCAAAGGATTTGGGGAAATAACGTGCTTTGCCCCCCTCTATAAAAAAAAATCCTGGCGACGCCCATGGTTGCACAATTTTCAATTTTCGTTCTTGATTCTGCAGATGTTTGGTTGTTCACGAGTGGAATTCAGCGTGGATTGATAAAGAGCATTGGAGAAGCTTTGGCTGAGCATGCTACTGGTCGCGCTATAATCAAGAACAGAGATCTCGTGGCAGTGGGCGTAGCACCGCTTGGTATTCTAAAACAAAAAGAGAAGTTTAGACAACAACACAATAAACAGGTATGTACAACATTCAAGCCTAATTATGATGTTTGTGATAACCCTATACATTGTATTCCAACCAAAAAGATGATACCAATGTTTATTGATCGGGCGTTTATATAGTGTATTCCAGCTGCAGATATACAGTTGGACTATTCTGCACAAGGGAGCGGTCTCAAACTGGAACCAAATCATACTCACTTCATCTTAGTGGATGACAAAGGACAGAAACGTGGTATCGAGGCCAAGGCGAGGAACCGACTGATCAACAAGATATCAACTATGCAGATAGAAGGAACAAATGACAGCAATGGTGGGTGGAAAAAAATCCATCTTATAAATAGTTTATGCAGTACCCGCTGCTACGTACATCAGATTCGAATCTAGCCAACCGATCCAGTTAGCTCGGTTGTCGAGTGGTAAGACGTCTGCACTAGAAAGCATGAGGTCGTGGGTTCGAGTCCCACCCGAGTGATTTTTCAAACTTCCACTCGGGAGGTAACACACTGAGTATACAGTGTTTAAACGTCGGTGAAGGGCAAAACCTAATTTGATTGAATGGTGGGTGAAGTTCACACGTTAAAATTTGGAAGGTTCAAACTGCATGGTTCAAAATATTTCCATTCATATTCGGAATTGTTTGGGAATAGGAGAAAGTAAGTAGAAACCAATTAATGTACTCAGTGATAGTCCCCGTAGGTTTTGATGCTGCGTAGCGTACCGTCGGTACCGGTGTATGGTCTCACCTTGGACTACCGCTGTTGAAGTTTGTTAAGTTGCACTTGTGTTGTTTTATTTTACATTTCTCACTATCCAGCAAGAATCCCTGCTGTGTATCTCCTCATCGGCGGTGACGTCACGGTCTTCGATACTCTTGAGGATGCCACCAAACACAACATTCCGATCGTTGTCTTTCCTAAAACCCAAGGGGCGGCCTTCGTACTGGATGAAATCAGTTTCCTGCAAAAAGAGCACCATGATTCGTAAGTCAACATTCGTTTTGGTTGATTGATGATGAGATACATTTCACATGAAATAATATTGTGTCTACAGAGTCTATAGAAATACTATTGTGTCTGTAGAAATACTACCGTGTCATAGAGGGCGTGCGAGGCTAGCTGACGTCTCAAAAGATATTGTCGTTGGAACGGAAACTTGGTTGCAAAATTCAACGTACTCAAGTTAATTTGTGCATGCGCATTACCAGATCTTCCGGGATAGAACAACATAAACCACAGGCGGTAGTGTATTTTTGGCTTTGAAGACAAACTAAATCGCAAGAAAAGAACCTGATTTACAGACAGATTGTGAATAGATTAGGTCCAGTATGCATGCATGTAAAGGGGAAACCAGCACTTTAAATTTGTGCCTTAATATATAGAAAACACTTTGGAGAAACTGAAATTGATGAAAACTACATCAATGAAATAGGACACTGCTATCTATGAAATGCATAAACTTCCAGACGTGGGCTGGGATAGAATCAGTTTCAACACAGGAGGGAGATATCCCGCAGTTTATAGTATAATAAAGCAGATGATCGACTTAACTCATAACCAGGACCTGCATCAAGTTGTTTTAAACCCGACTAGAGAGCATAACCTTGGACCTGGTCTTTACAAGCTGTTCTCTCATTGATGCAAAATGTAAACATCCTCCCTGGTGTCTCAGATCATGAGATAGTGTCAGTGGATTTTCTTATGTCATCTCCGCGAAGGAAGGTTCTCGTGTACAAAAAGGGAATTTTGACCAAATACAAGAGGACTTCATAAAGTATGCGGAGTCTATCACTGGGGAAACCTACAACAGCTCATCTGTGAATCAACTGTGGCTTAATTTTGAGAAAGCTTTGACTTCTGTAGTGGATCAACACATCCCTTCAAAAATGGTTAAGCCAAACAACAGCCTACCCTGGTTAAAGCACTCTCATAAAAAGATGCTCAGACATAAGCGCAAAGCTTATAATAAAGCTCGCAAGACCGGCTTGGACTCGGATTGGGAAATATTTAGAAGCCCCGGTGCACCTCAGATCGCAGCCTGAGGAAATCACGTAGTGAGTACCTTCACGATGTATGTGAAAACTTGGCCACAAATAACACCAAACCTTTCTGGAGTTACATGAAGAGCCTAAGACAAAGTTCCACCGGTGTGTCAGCACTAAAAACAGTCAATGGTATTGCAATACATCTGCACTTGTCTTGAGGAGGCGAGTGCATTAAACAACCAAGTCCAAAGAAGACTGCAATAGTTTTTCATCACTGGAAACTAAAGAAACACCCTCGATATCCCCAATTACTATTACAATTAACTGAAGGCATTGTGAAGCTACTTCAAGATCTGAAACCACTGCTACTAGTATCGCCCCGCTCTTTATGCACTGAGGAACTGCCTGAAGACTTGTTAACCGACGTGTCTCCAATTAAAAAAAAAAGGGAAACCGCTCTGATCCTGCAAACTACCGACCAATATCTCAAAACATCTATCCCTTGCAAGCTCTTCGAGCACATAATTGTACTCCAGTATATAATGAAATACTTCGATGAATACAATGTCTAAAACAACGAACAGCACGGGTTCCGAAAGGGTAGGTCCGGGGAAACTCTTCGCACTCTTTGCGAAGCTTTGCAGGTGCGATGCCTGCAAGAACAGGCAGGAGGTCTATATTGGAGAAAGGCGTAGGCAGCCAGTGCTGATCTGCATGGTTTCGTTGAGGGTCACATCAAGCTTCCCGGCATGGGCACAGAGGCACCATAATGGGGTGGCTTACTCGGCAGCGATGTATATACGAGGGCAAGAGCACCAGTTCGAAGGTTGGATGTCCTTGCACCCCATGACTATCCGGCCAGCCGACGCAGGAGGTTGTTACGTGCTGAAACCTTAGTAAGGAGGGCTTCCAGATGTTTCCTGTTGGTGGGTTGCGGGTCTAGTCTAACCCCGATCGAGGTAGGTGGGATCTGGGTTGTAGGGCAGGGGAGACCCGTTTAGGGTGAAAGTCAGCTGGCGTTGCGCTTTATTGGTGTTCAATGCAGGTGGAAGGCAGATGAAGTGGCTTTTGCGACGCTCAGCCTTAGTCTCCATGTCTTCGGGTAGTATATTTGATGCATTCCATGTCAGCTGAGAGCACCTTCTCCACAGTGTGGGCTGCCAAGGTGTAGCCAGGTGGGCCATAGGAGGGAAAGGAGTCTCCGTGAGGTCTTCAGGACTGCCCCCTCCACTTCAGAGTCTTGAGGGGACACTGCAATTGCTGACCATTTTGCTGTATTCTTCACAAACGATGCAATTCCATGGGTATCACTTTCAGTGTGGGCTGCCAAGGTGTAGCCTGGGACCTTTAGGTGAGAGAAGTTGCTGACGAGGGTCTCTTGGAGTAGGATAACACTGACTTTGTGGGTCTGTTTCAGATGCTCAATGGCAATGATCTTGGCCTTCCTTAGGCCTTCCATATTCAACTGCAACAGGGATCGAGATGCCGTCCCGTACGGCATTTGCAAGTGTCCGCCCTGAAAAGCGCGCATGCTCCCGGTTGGCATCCAGCTGCGGCGGCTGAGGTTGCATTATATGCAAAAAAAAGTATGTGTGCACAAAACGTGACTTACTGAATGCGGTGTGTGGACTCGGACATGCTGCTTAAATGACAAAAAGTCTGAATCAGATTCGCTGAGTAAGTACCTTGTCGGTTCACCATTTGCATTTTTTCCCAAACAAAATGCGATTGTGATGAGTTTGATTACAAGTCAGTATGCCTGAAAATTTACCAGATAAATAGTAAGCTTAATACGCATGGGCCTATTGGAAGAGGAACGACTAAATCAATCGCTCAAAATGCTTTTCCTTTGTGTCCACATTGCAGGGATCATGACTTCGACAAAGAAGCCATGCATTGTATTGAAGAGGAATTCCAAGTATGCTCTCAAACAGCAAGGCCCATCAAAGAGCAGATTGAACGCCTTATCAAAAAGAAGCACCTTATCACTTTCGTATCAAATGCGAACAATATTGATGGTACAATACTCGATGCATTAATGGAAGGTAAGCACTTTGCCTGGGCCAGCTGACGGGTGAGAGTGAATACATTAATAATATTCTTATACACCGACACCTGGGTTCTAGTCACTCCACGGATTTAATTTTGTAAAAAGCGAGCGGTGTGCAGGCAAGTGGCGAGGGAGAAAGCACGTTGGGGAATCAGTTTAACAAACGATAAACAAAAAGGGAGAAAAATAAAAGGAAAATTTCAAGTAAATTGCAAAATCATTCCTGAGGGAGATCCTATTGTTCATGAATAGTCAATATCTGTGAGAATATTTCATTTTTTGAGAAAGAGTTGATACGACCCGAAAATCTCCAAACTATCCATGAATGTAAATTACTCAAAAGGCCTGAATTTTCTCAGATGCAACAAAGAAATTTAATGAAACAAGAAAACACCCATATACAAAGAAAAAAAAATGTGATTTAATAATGCGAACACTTCGAGCATATCAAAAGGGTTTAACAATTGTACAATGATTAACAAAACATCATGATATAAATAAGAAGATCGTACGGGCAAGGACTGCAGGCTCAGCAGCGACGGACGACTCCAAGGACGAATTCACCTCCCACGAACGACCGGAAACAGACGAATGAGCGGAACTTTTTTTTCATTGCATGAAGAACCAACATGCGAAGTTTCATGTTATTTTTTCATCACAAAGTGCACAATTCTGTCACTAGGGCAAACGTTTTCTTCTACTCAGTCGGAAAAATCATTGCTTCCTGTTTGAATATTGCCATGTTTAGTAGGTGCACAGTTCGGCTTAGTTACCCCCCCCCTCCCCCGCGTTAAGCAGAGAGTAAGGGCAGGCCCTATGATTGGGTTTAGAAACAATGGAATTATGTTTTACTCAGGAACGTTTTAAGCCATGTTTCTCTTTACAGCAAACAGTGAAGGACAGCAAAGCAACGACCAGATGCTGATGAGTCTTGCTGTCATCTGGGACCGGATATACCTTGCCAAGTCTGTGTTTGAGCGAACCACCAGCAAGATTTGGAAGGTTCGTAATCAATTATTATGAACATAGGATGCCGTGTCTAACAACCGTTGCCATGAGCAAGCGGGGGCCGGCGAATTTTTATTCCTAAACGACACCCGCATGGGGTGTACGCTATGGCATTTTGGGCATTAATTTTCTTAAAACATCACAAAAAATGAACTTAAAAAAAAAGAAATGACTTCGAACGTATAACGAAATTTGGGCTTTATTTCCCTTAAAAAAACCTCCAAAGCCTCAGATTAGATCTCAAAACGGTAACTCGAACCCGTATCTCGAGGATCCCTCACGGTACGAAATCACGACCATATCAATTGAGCTATCGCACTGTTCTCAAACCCTGGAAATTCATGGTAGTAGTATATACATGCGTACGTATCATAAAAGTATGTTGTTTGGAGAAAAAAAAATCGCGGCTGGTACGGGATGGATGGGGGTCGAACTACCCACCCCAAATTCTACATGGATCCACTTCTTGCTATACAATTTTTAATTTACAACTAGAAAGGGTAGCATTAATAAAGGTCCATGATTTCACTTCTACATGATTCATGGATTTGATGAAACTTATTGGTGCTGCAGTATCCCTTGGGTGCGAATATAGAATTCGTCATCGAATTACTGAGGTCAAACGTCATGTAGGGGTCATTAGAGGTCATTGTTCAAATATTCTTCAAATGTTTCTTTGTCTACTGAATTTGATGGATTTTAATGTAGCTTGGCTGGAGTGATCCTTGGGTGGGGGGGGGGGGGGGTTCATCGCAACTCTTCCAAAATGGAGGTCAAGGGTCAGATTGGAGTCTTTTGAGGTCGTCGTGCAAAATGTCACAACATTTTTAAAATAGAGGAATATCGACCGCGGAAAAAGGCGACACGTGCGATCCGCAGATCACTTGTTCTAAACAAATCCTTTGCTTTTGATGCAAAAAAGGCCTACCACAAACAGAAGTAGCTATGTGGCGGAGTATTTTTTTTTTTACAGGACACCAGCTTTGTGAAGGAATTACTACACTTAACTCTTGTCGAAGACCAGCACGACTTTGTCAAGTTCTTCATCGAAGCCGGAAGAGTTGATATGCAGGACTTCCTGTCATTCAATGAGCTGAGGAAACTTTATGGAGAGGTGAGTAACATGAATGATAAAAACGGCCAGAAGCCCTATATTAAATCCAATTAAAGGTTTTGAAAGTTGCTGCTGCTGTTGTTGTTGTTGTTGTTGTTGTTATTGTTGTTGTTGTTGTTGTTATTGTTGTTGTGATGGTTGTTGTAGTGTTGTTGTTATTTTTGTAGTTGTGGTTGTTGTAGTAGTAGTTGTTGTTTTGTTGTTGTTGTTGTTGTTGCTGCTGCTGCTGACGTTCCAACAAAATCCTTAGTTCAATCCAATTGTATTTTAATTTTGATGGGGATCCAATGAAAAAAATGGGTTGATAATTTTTTGAAGAAATGTTCTTCCTTTAAACCACAGCTGAGCAAAGACTCCGTTGTGTCGACAATGCTGAGACAGTACAAAAAGAAAAGGGTAAGTTGTTTTAGTTTTCATAAAATAGGTGACTTTTTGAAATATTTGATAGGCGCATTATGCATGGGGCATTTGGAAATAATACACGGCAGGAAAAGACACACCACACTTCGCTAACCATCAAAAATGATTACCCAGGCCTAAATGCAGGGTGTTTTCCTTCGTACATGACATCAGTGGCATAGCATCGGGGAGGGGTATATGCGTCCATAATGATCTGTGTTCTATGTACCAATTCTTTTAATGCAAATAAACACATTGGTGAGGGGATTTCTAGTACGGTGTCCGTCATGAAGCAATTCTGTCATATTTCGTTACGTGCCCGTCATGAATTGAAATGGGACGTGGTGATTCATTCCTTGCACGGCCCCGGTTCCAAAGACTTGTGGGTATGAATACAAATGGTGAAAAACAATTTGAAAATCAATTCTATTATCATTTTTTGTACTGGTTCGGCAGGTTTGCACATGCATTATTGGAGAGCAGTAATAACCTTTCGCTGATTTTACCCACTATTTTGTTGTTTTTATTTATTGAATTGTGTGAATACTGACTGTTAGGGAACTTCAATTTTCAGTGATTTTGCAAATTGCTTTTTAAATATATATCGTATCGTTTGGCATGTATCGTGATACGTATCGTATCGTGATCCAGGTGTATCGCTTCAGCCGTAGTGCTGTACTTTGTTCCGATTTTGATGATCAGCCGGAGATTTGTCTTGGAGACATTGGGTGTCTCCTTCAGGAGCTGATATGTGATGGTTATGACACAGACTATCTGAGTTGCAGTACACATTACAAAGCAAATAAGAAAAAAGGTGAGAAGTTCAATATTCGCGTATCTTTGGGCGCTCTGAAGCTACTTCTAATTATATTTTACAATATCGCAGAACGACCCGACAGACTTTTCACATAGCCCAATCATATTTTATTTTGTTTTTGTTCTTCAAAGAAATTACAAAATTGTATTTTTTCATTCCTCTCTTTGGCCATTTATATAGGCGTGGAGTATCAAACGGTCATGCATGTTGTATACAATATTCGCTGTTCAGAAAAAAAATGAGTGCCTGGTTCGTTGAGCAGAAGTTGTAAGTATGCACTTCTCACAAAAAAACATAATTGAACGACTTTTGTTTTACATTCATGCTTTTGCAGAGAAAACTTTCGAGGACCCATATAAAGAGTTATTTTTGTGGGCGGTGCTTCAGGATCGTATCCGATTGGCTAAGCTATTTTGGAAGCTTGGCAAGCCGTCGGTGGGAGGCGCTTTAGTTGCAAGCAAGCTCCTGAGGGCATTATCCAACCAACAGGAAGTAACTAATGCACAAAAAGCGGCGAACATGTACCAGCATGCCAAGTAATACTTTGATTGAAATAAATGTATTATAGCATTGTAATCGAGTAGTCAGCCAGTTTCATAAACCCTCATCCACATTTGGCTTGTCAGCAAATACATATATTGAGGGGACTCCAAAATTGTAGTCCTAAATCTTTTTGTACTTATTTACGAATTCGGGCGATTCACAATGCAGTGCGCCACCAAGAGTTTGCCATGGAGAGTCCATTTTTCAGGTTTACGGTCGACAAAACATGGTCCATTTGCATGAGAGTCAGAAGACAACTTGATCTAATTTGTTATAGGTTGGAGCATAGTGTCTGCCGCCTTACAAAAAAACCACCATATTGATAAGAAGAAAAGGACAGGGTAAACAGATCCTCGAATCGTACGCTTACAAACAAAGTGACCAGAAAGACTCGCAATTTCAAATAGCCCGCGCTGCGAATTTGTCGACCATCTCCCACAATGCACTGGGAAAAATGAACTCTCCATGGCAAATTCTTGGTGGAACACTGCATTGTGAATCGCCCGAATTAATAGACCGTATTACTAAACCTCTAGGCCAAACAATACAGGAGTCGATATTTTCCAGATGAACTCACTGTGCTATTTTCAAATTTCGATTTGAGAAGAAAAACAAATATGCTATTTTTCTAGCGATGCAAAAGTTGTTCAGTTTTGCAAATGAGATATTTCGAATTGTTACCGACCGGACAATAATGTGGTTCTGTTTTAACAAAACTTTTTTTGCAAACAAATGAAACCACTTTCCAATAGGGAAGTTTCACTTTTTTACATGCATCAATTTCTCAGTTGTTGAAATAGGCAACACATATCTTTGGAGTTTTTCTTCAGCATTGTGTAGGAGAAAGCGACTACCATAGGATCCTTGCAAATTAACCCTAAAAGGGCCGGGTTATTTTGACCATCTCTCAGCCGGGGGGGGGGGCCTTAGATTTGGCCAATTTTTTTTGGTATCAAAAGATGCGCAAGGCTCGAGGCTAAAAGGTCATAACAGCTCTGGTCGCGAAAAAAAAAATTCAAGGCTATCGCGGACAAAGTTGAGGGGGGGGGGGATTCCGCCCCACCCGGCCCTTTTAGGGTTAAATGATACACGTTTTCTAGTTATCTGAAATCACATAATCAAGCTTCCTGGTCGTTTCACAGGGAATTCCAGCACATCGCCGTGGATATCCTAAACATGTGCTATGAGGAGGACAGACGGCGCACATCGGACCTGTTGGTGCGTATCATGCCAGAGTGGGGCGGTGCTACCTGTCTGGATATCGCCGCTGCTGCAATCAGTAAAGACTTCATATCGCAAGCTGCCGTACAGAATCTACTCAGCGAGCTGTGGATGGGACGGCTGGCCGTCATGACTCATGAGTTGAAGGTTCATAATATTTGGAAAACCCTAAAAGGGCCGGGTTATTTTGACCATCTCACAGCCGGGGGGGGGGGGGGAATTCCCCAGATCTCGGCCATCGAGTGACGACAAATTATGAAACTCGGTATAACATGCATAAAACAAATTAACATGAACATACCCAAGACACTTCATGACTATAGGTCGAAGGGTTTTGAATTATGGGTAACTAATTATTCATGTGAAAGAATGGTAATTTTGCTTTGTGTTACACTACGTATATGGAGAAATTCAGATCCGAATTTCATGGTTTTGGTATCAAAAGATGCGCAAGACACGAGGCTAAAAAGTCAGAACAGCTCGGGTCGCGACATTGTTTTTCAAGGGTACCGCGGTTAATGTTAAGGGCGGGTGGGCGCATTCCGCCCCGGCCCTTTTAGAGTTAACAGCTCAATCCTCATTCATTAGATGAAATTTGCGTCGGGTTATGTAAATTCAATGTTGGGTTTTGTCCGACACCTTTTACCCCGAAGCAAATTCGATCTTATTTTGAGCGGTACAGGGGAAATGACAGAAATTATGATCGGAGGGAGGGATTTTTTTTGGTGGGGGAGTTGGTGCGGTGGACGCACAGAACACTGGCAGGACCCAATTTCCAGGCATATGATTGACAGGATTTGGTGGTTTGTGGGGTTTTGTGCAAAGGGTATAAGGAAAATGATTTTCTTGGCCCAGCAGAGGGCTTTGACGTATTTATTTTTACCCCCACATACCGTTTTTTTCTAATAGCTATATGATTTTTTAAGTAGGAGGCTTCACTTGACAACAGTATGAAGCATTGCATTATCGTATGAAAATTAAGATGATTAAATCTCAACCTGATTGAAAACCACGTAAAATGAGGCCCTTGTATTGCGGACCGCATTGTAGGACCTATCCAGTTTTTGTTTAATAACATAAGATTCCAACCATAAAAACGCGGTTGTTGCGTTGTTGGCGGAGTGTCGCTGACAGTGATTTGCTATACATGTATATAGGCTTAAGCAGATTTTAGGGAAGATACAACGTTTGCAACATCATAAAACGAAATGATCAAATTGTAACGAAATAGCTAGGGAATGACAGTCTTAAGCATCCTGTAAAATCGTGCATCCTGGTGGCATTTGCAAGAAAACTTGTATTTTTCCCAACGCTGTGAAGAGATACAAGCCTGCTAGACTGATTTTCTTACCTTACAAATCCCCAAACTCTACAAATTGTCCCATTTCAAGTGGGTCAGGGAACCAGACTACAAGAACATGGTTTGGTTTTCTTGGTTTGTTCAGCATCTACAAGCCAAAACCGTGAAACAATTAAGTCAGTTTAAACTTTGCTATAACATACTAATCCCCAAAATCCATTTATTTGCAGCAAAAGCAAATGTTGTACATTCCCTCTATCCAAATATATGTGCAAACAACATTTTTGTTTTCAATGTCATGAAAGTAGAAAGCTTAACAGCTGTGCTGTTGAAAAATGTCCAATACTTAGACAACTGGAACTTAAAAGAACAGATCAGCAAACACGTGCACTGACGCTTCTGCTGTTTTGTCTCGGTGTGTTTTAGATTGGTCTGTGTGTCATCCTTCCTCTGTTGTCAATATGGCTGATCACCTTCACTGACGATAAAGATGACTCAACTGATGCGCTGAAAAAGAAAAGGGTATTATGTCTGTTTTAATATGGCTGATCACCTTCACTGATGATAAAGATGACTCAGCTGATCATACGCTGATAAAGATAAGGGTATAATTCTAACAAACTATAGGCCATTTTTTGTTGTTGCCTATTATAACACATATTGATTTTATCAATAGACTAAAAGGAGAACCCCCACCAAATTCTGGAAGCCGAGCAGCTGCTCGAGTATTGGAAATGTATCCAACAGAATACTGTATGCCTCATTTGTGTTCAGCTTCAGGCTGATCATTCACAGCTCCCTTTCATGAGACAAAGAAGACACTGCATATTACTCCAATTTGTAAACGAATGTTTGAAAACTGTACAGATAAAGATAACTCTTGATTCTATAGCTACTCTAGCATGAAACACAAAGTGGTTAGTGTTTTTAATTATATCATCCGAGCCGTTAATTTCGCAAGAGCTTTGTATTTCTTTGAATATCCTCTTGATTATTTTATTGCTGGCAGATGTATAACTTGGATTTGCAACTAGACAGACAAAGTCGATATGTTGCTGTCAATAACTTGATTTTAAGCCAAAAAAAATAAGTCGGTCTCTGGTCAGCGCGCGCTTCGATTTTAATCATGCGCGTCAATCTTTTTCTTTTTCAAAATGTTCTGCGGTAGCTCCAACAGCGCCCTCTATTGCCGCACCTCCTCAACTTTTTTTTACCAAAGAGCACCAAGGAATGGGAAATTGCACCAAGGCAAATGATCGAGAGCACCAAGGCAAATTATGGAGGACACCAATGTACATGAGGACACCAAAAAAGCAAAATAGTACCCCACCTTGTCTGTACAATCCAAGCTTGAAGAAACCCCCCCCCCCCAAAAAAAAAGCCGTGTCCCCCCCGCGTCAATTCCGGAACTTTGGTCTGACCAGAGACCAAATTTTTTTTGTTGGCCTTAGGAGAATTATGTTTGCGTTTGCATTATAATTATATTCCATTGTCGAAGAGTTAATTGACAGTGATTTATTACCCGACAGAATTCAGTGTGTCTTCGTGGTTCAGTTGGGAAGCTAAACAAAAGAGAAAGCGCCACCAGGCAAGTTTACCCTCATGTTTCTATGTTCTTACTTCCACTTCCATACAAAGGATAGATTGTTCATTAGCCAACTTACAAATATTTGTTGAGTGACAAAATGTTCACTATGCAATAATATAATTACCCAATATAAGTTGGTAATCAACGAAACCTAACAACTTTACAAGTCATCACCTCGGTTACTGTCCCTTTTGAGAAAATAGAGACTCGTACCATCATAAATGATAGTTCTCCATTCATTGCAGACAGCATAGACTACAAGCCAGTCCACTCAAAGAAGGATGGGATCCTCTGTCTTGGTTGCATAGGCTGAAAATGTTCTTGGAGGCACCGGTTGTACGCTTCAGCTACAATGTGGTAACTTAATCAATTTAACCTATTTTGTCCAGATGTTTAGAAAATCTATTTTTGAATATTTATCGATTATGTTGCGAACATCGTATTTAACTTAATTTTAAAAGCTTCGTGAGCGGTTCTGTTTCATCAAACTAAATATAGTGTTTAATTTACAAACGCTTAGGCCTATTTTTTTCGGCGATGCTTAAAGTTAGAAATTTGTGAAATTTCAAACTCTGTTAAAACCTATTAACCGTTTTTACGCTAAAGACGAGCTAGGCAAATATAAGTTACAATCAGCTGCAAAACTTGAACCAGGTGTTTGAGGCTTTTTTGGTACAAAGATACTTGCATAATGAATTTGACTCACAATTCAGCTCCTCTAGCGCAGGTTTTTATAAACTGTTGCAAAAAAGTTAATAACTTTAACACTATAGGGTTTATACAAATATAGGTTTTCCCGGCCAATTTCCTAAAATGTTCACTCACTTCCGAAAATCGGTCATTCATTTTCGCCTGAATTTGAGAATCGCTCTGAACACGCGTTTCATTTTCGCTACCAGATAATTCGATTCCATTTCAGTTCAATCAAATAAGTGATTGAGAAGCACCTTTCGTTTATGCTCATTCAGATTCGTTTACAAGACTTCCTTTTCACTTTTTAAGGACTTTATCAAACATTAGCCATTCTATTTCACTTTTAGTTCGATGTTATGTGATGCACTCTGCTATTTTGAATGAGAAAAACGTACTTTTGATTGCACATTCAGGGAATTGTATTCCAGAATTCTGCGCGAAAAGGTATGCTTGCGTAATATGAATGCGCAGGTAAATATAATTGGCCGTCTGTTTCTCAAAACCGAATGCGCAGACAATGAAAACGATTGAAATTTTGTGGAATTGAAATGAGAATAAAGACGTCAATTCATATTCAGACGAAAATGATTGACCGATTTTCAGAAATGAATGAACATTTCAGGAAATTGGCCGGGAAAACCTATATTAATGAATACGAACACAAGTTGGGGAATTGGATTTTCAAAACATATATTTAACAGTGTTTTAATGACTTGGAAAAAGTCACCATTCTCACAATACAGTTATACAGTTCACATTTATTTGTGATTCATTGTAGATTTCCCAGGTTTTGTTCCTGCTGCTGTTTAGCTACATCATGCTGACCAACTTCCATCAGGAGGTCTCAGGCTGCGAGATTGTTCTCATGGTGTGGGTCTTCACACTCTTCACTGATGAAATACGACAGGTATTATCAATTATCTCAACTCTCAGTTTAGCACCTGAGCAACAGCTAATGTGACTATTAATTAGATGAACTCTTGACTGTTGACCTGAAAAGATTGAACAGGAATGGATTGATCCCAATACACCCCTTAGCCAATTATTATAGACATGATGAGATTTTACCATTCTGGCGTGAGTGTCCACTGAGTTCCTGAAATTGCGTTCGACTGGTCAGCTAGGATGAATCAAAGGAGAGTCAGAGAAGTATATTACTGAAATAGCAAATTATTATGCATTTACGGTCGACACGAAATAAATTATTGTAAGCTTAAGATTTTCACCGTTTTTTGCAAAATTTTCGTCCATTATGTTTTTTCAATTATCAATCTCGAGTTCAGTACCCGTGATCATTATAAATAATTGTACACAGTGATGACAAAGCCCAACTATCGCTGATTGTTTAACGCAATTTCTGAACGCACTAGGCATATATGAAATATGCTTAGTTTTTGGTTTTTCATTTGCAGGTATTATAATTATTATTAACAGTGTACTACTGTAAATTTTGAGTGTCTTTTTAGGATTTTGGCAGTTTCAGACTGCAGATGCAACTCCCCAAATTGTTTGAAAAATGCCCCTTCATTGAAGCAAATCTTTAAAAAGAGTTTGTTGCATGGTTTGCAGTTGGGATTAATGATGGCGCAAGCAATAGAAATTGGCCAAGTACATAACTCTGCCGTCCCTCTTGTTTACTGGATTTTGTTTCACTACAGATATTGCAGGAGAAGCACAAGTCACTGCTGCATCGTTTCCAAGCCTGGCTGTGGGGCTATTGGAACAGTGTTGATCTGATCTCCCTGGTCTTGTTCGCTGTTGGTGTGGGTCTGCGATTCCATCCAGCCACTTTCGATGCTGCGCGCATTGTGCTGGCTCTGGACCTCATGGTGTTCTACTTCAGAATTCTCCACATCTGCTCCGCTAGTAAGCTTCTGGGTCCGAAACTGATCATGATCACAAAGATGGTAAGAAGCCCCCCCCCCCAAAAAAGGAGGTCTGCAGTTGTACTGCAGAACCTTGTTTAGAAAATGACTTTCAGCCCTGCGTTGTAGCTTTGTCCAGGGTTAGTTTTCCTGTTAGCCATGACAAGAACACTGAGAGGATCTCGTTTAGATAAACTTGACTTAACTCTTAACGCTTGCTTTCTTTATGTCACAGATGTTAGACCTGACCAGCTTTGTCTGTATACTGGCGGTGTTTCTGATTGGCTATGGAGTAGCCTGTCAGGCCATACTCTATCCAAACTCCACCCACCCGGCGCGCATCGCTAGAGGAGTCTTGTATCGATCTTATTTCCAGCTGTATGGACAACTCTTCTTGGAGGACGTCGATAGTAAGTATTATTGTCTCCTATGTAGGTTTTTGTTTGAAACCTTTGGCCTAACCATTTCTTTTAAAAATTAAACCCTCCTTTTGAGACGTCCTATAGGATCATATAGAAGCTGGCAAACAACTTGAAGAAATCCTACAAGAGCTTGCAGGATTTATTCTTACATGGCTTCTTGAAAACTCTAAAATAATCCATGTGTGTTTTATTAGAAAAGGCACTGAAATTGGTCGATGTCCTTTTTCTTTCTGCCAATAGGTGACTGCGCTGCGAACCAGACCCAGATTGCAGAGGGTATGGATTCCTGTCCCCAATCCTCCTGGTTTGCTACGGTCAGCTTGGCCGTCTACCTGTTTATCAGTAACATCTTGCTTCTTAACCTCCTCATTGCTATGCTGAAGTAAGTCGAAGTTTGTCTTTACGACATGTCGAACTCAGACGCCTCCTATTAGAATACCAATGTACTGACTGTGAGCCAGTGTAATTGCAGGGCGGACCTGTTTGTGTTTAAAAGCAACCCAAAATACAGTTATTTTCCAAAGGGATGCAGATGCAAAAAGTAGGTTTTACTTCCTTAGAAAGATCATACCAGTTGCTGCAGCGAAAAAAATTAGAAGTTTGTCGATTGAATAGACACTACTCTATGAAGTTCCAATCACTCAAGCCTTGTCCAAGCCCACTATCATTTTCCCTTTTTCCGCCTATGTTTTTGTAACGTCTCCAAAAATTTCTTGTTGGTGTTAATGAAAGTGGAATCCAAATTTCCCTGATTGAACGAGGTTTAAAAAAGACACTAATTTATCTTTGATGTTAAGGGAAACAACAACAACAACAACAACAACAACAACAACAACAACAAACAACGTGTCTTTCATGTGTGTATTTTACTGCCTCCCTGGATGATACATATACAGAAGTTTTCGTACCCCACTTTCGCGAGCAGGATAGCAGTCCGCCCATCACAGACCGGAGCTGGTTTAACTCATTCAAACACACTTCTTTGGGAGAAATAAACAATACTACCTTACTTTGTTTAACATGGATGGGGTTACAAAAAATATTCTGTCACACAGTCAGCGATATATTTCTGAGACGCGTCAGGCATCCTTTTCTTATATGATGGAATTTTAGCTCGGTGGTCGAGTGGTAAGACATCTGCACTAGAAAGCAGGAGGTCGTGGGTTCGAGTCCCACCCGAGTGATTTTTTCCAACTGTCACTCGGGAGGTAACACACTGAGTATACAGTGTTTAAAACGTCGGTGAAGGGCAAAACCTAATTTGATTTACATCCTTTTCTTATTTGCAATTTTAATAGCTACACCTTCACAGCGATTCAGGAAAACACTGACGCATACTGGAAGTACCAGAGATACCAGTTAATCAAGGAATATTACCGGCGACCCCCGATCGTTTCACCTTTCATCTTGGCTGCTCATCTGTATCAACTGGTACGCTACGTGTGGGATCGCTACTTTCCTGAATGCAAAATGTACAGGGCTCCGAATCTCATTAGTAAGTCTGAGTTGATATTTTGCTTTTGGCTAACAATCCAAACCAACCCCGAGTGTTTCTCTTCATTTTGCACCGGATAAAACCAAACCCAAAAATATCTCTAAACCTGCTTTCCAGAGAGGGGAACTTCACCTTGTGTGGAGGTGGTCAAGTCCACACAACGTGTCTCAAAACTGGTTTGTGTGGACATCTTTTGTTCGGAAGTCCACACAGTGAATGTAATGCTTGTACACACACTTACACACACCTACTGAAATTTGTATCACTGTGGAGACATTTCTTTGTTCTCGTGTAGTAAAGTTTTCGAGTTTGAAAGTGAAGTTCCAAATTGCCCTTATTTTAACCAGAATTAATTTCCTTGGCTGAAATTCGGACTTAATATCCCATTTTTAAAACTCTTCCATTTGCGACAAATCAACCCACCTTGGAAATTCCTAGTTTTTGAGTAAAATCCATATATCTATTTCGTGAAAACCTGTGGAGACTATAGAAATTGCCCTGTATTCATCTATAGAAATTGCCCTGTGGAGACGTATACAATCTTTTGTTCCCTATTATGTGCACGTCTCCAGGGGGCACGGTGTATCAGATCATTTTTATAAGACCTACGGTCTTGTCTCTTTGCTTAATACAGGTTTTAATTAAGTGGTTAACCGAGTTATTGTTCGTTAGTTCTCGCTTATTGTTGGTTTTCATGTGACATGCACGTTCCTTCTGACCTCAGGCTGCTGTTCAAAATTCATGTTATGTGATCTAGCACCCGGCCCCTTGTATGCAACCCCCTCCCGTTCAGCCGTCTAATGTTTTGATACTACATGTAGTAGAATGGTACCAAAAATAATTAATTAATTCTCAAATTGACTTTGAATGCAGGAGAAACACCGTATATATAAACATTTACCGGGGGTAGACCGATGATTCCCTGGCCCTAGCAAGACGTGCCCTTGGCACGGTTTCACTCAACCACACCTGCATACCCCCACACCTGTTTCCTGAAAACTATGGATCCGCCATGAACGTTTAGTGTTTAATTCATGGAAACAAACTCAAAGTACCGTTAGATCCCTGCTAAAACGCCATAAAAGTCATTACAATTCCTTTTGTTGACTCCGTCAGGAAAGAAAATGGAGGCCAGGGAGGCCGCAGAGATGACCGCCTGGGAGAAGGTAAACTGTCGAGATTATCTGGCCGAGAAGAAGAAGGCAGAGAGCGAGGCGACAAACGTGAAACTGGAACAAATGCAAAAGAAGTGAGTCTTAATAAGGGATGAAATTAGTGTGATACACACGCAGGGTGATCGGACAGACAACTACTTTATTTGACATTGCCCAGTTCATAATAAATATTTTTCGTCCGAACAAAAATAATCAAAATGAACCTTTTCCAGTGTAGCAATTTCTTTTATTTTGAAATTTCTTTTGTCGTATTGGGGTTGATAGGTTTAATGTTAGTTAAACATGACTCCCGGTTTGATGTTGTCACCAGTTGAAAATTCACAAAATGAAAATTGTTTTTGTTTGGAGAGGCTGGAAATATAAACTTTACACCGCGAATGTAAATGTATAAGTTGATACCATTTTGCTTTTCTTTGATGACCACACGGCAACAATGGAGCTGACAAAATTTTGTATTATTATTGTGCCACGAACATCGCCGCTGGATACGAATTAATTATAAAGATGAAATTGATTTTTTTTTCAAAAAGATAATCGATAAGTTTATAATTTTCACTTTAAGTACTTCCGGTTTGATGACTTCATGACCCTGAAACTTCTCAAAGTTACCTGCGGAGCAAAATTTAGTAAACTTGTGAAAACTGGTTCTAAATTTAAAAAGTTGAACTTTCTTTGAGGGCGCTAGAGGGCGCTATTTTGGGACTTGACATCGCACATGCAGCCAATCGGGAAGCCTGCCACTGAGCCAGTGAAAAACTTAAAAACATTCCAACATTAATTGTTCTATTAAGAATTGTCAATGAAACTCCAGAGAAGCAATGTGGAAGTCAGAGAGTATTTTTTATTTGATTTAATGTAAAGAGTGTCTCGGTTTACATTTGTTTCCAGGCTGCGAGACCTTTCCGACATGATATATGATTACTTTGATGATGGCCGACTCAACCGGTCTTTCCAGAATGCGATAAAGAAACATATGGACAACGACACGGGTCGCCGTTTATCCAGGTAAGTCACATTTAAAGAAAATAATATATAACGTGGATCTGTGGCATTGGGTCGTATGTATAAAAACTAGCATTTGCTTTTACTACCTATTTTCGTGCATTTACTTGCATTTGTATGAATAAACATGAAACAAATGCTTTTACTGGAAAGCAGTTGCTAGTTTTTATACATACGACCCATTATCTTGGAGAAGGGCGTCAATCTAACTTTAGTTTGTATGAATGTTCTTATTAGGGTGAATGCCTAAATATCATAATAAGGGTTTTCTCCACAGCAACCTTTTGGTAGGCGTAGGGATGGGATCCCAAACGTTTACGCAAAGTGCACCTAGCGTGCGTGCGGCTGATTTTGTATTTTCGAAAAGTAGGGACACTAAGGGGACATTTCAATGTTTTTAAATTTGGATTTTTTTCCTCCAAAGTGTGGGTGGGATGGGTCAAGGTAAATAATTGAAAATCCAAATTCTCTTTTCATTAAAAAAAAAAAAAAAAAAAAAAGCTAGATATGTTGTCTTGCCTACGCACCAGCGTTCCTTATGCGCGTTTGTTTTCCAACTTCGTCCCCAATACCGACGGTCAGACAATACAGTCATACAGACGTACAGAATGATCTGTAGTACATGTACATTGTGTACTGTGTGCACATGAGTATTCACACACCGGTAATCGAGGACCTAGGACACGGGCGCAAACAATACGTGCACAAGTGACCGATAGTCCACGATTGAAATTCGTGTACAAAACCAATGAGAGCTGTTGCTAAAAAGTTAGGGGTATAAACAAAGGAATGAGGATTAGGGCGATAGGGCGTCCACGATTGCCGGTGTTTACAAATGTGTGTGCATGCAAGTGCATGTACGGTTGATGTACCCTAACGTGGCGCGGCCCCTAACGTGGCGCACTTTGATTTTTCGCATGTAGCGCCTAGCTAGAGCAAAAGTTGTAACTGAAATTTCACAGAAAGTGAAATTTCATCAAGTTCTAAACACTCCCGTTCATAAATTACGAGTGTATCTACCTGTTACAAAATTAGAAGAACATTTTATTTTGGCGCGATTTTCCGATTTTCCGTGATTTTGTTTCGAAGTGCTCAGTGAACCCTTTGAAAATGTCCCCCCTCCCCCCCCCAAAAAAAAAATTGAAAATAATTTTCTGACAAACTTTTAGTTGGGTATGTAAATAGAGATAATAATGTTTGTCAGAATTTATCAACTTTACAAATATTCTTAAATGTCAATTTGGAAGTTTCCGTCATTTATTCAAGTGCGCCACGTTTGGGAACACTCAGCCTATTTTTTCCCAATTTCTGGACGCCACAGTTTTTGAATTGTGGGCTAAATTCCATGAAACCGAAATTGTTCACAGAGGTTAAATAGCAAGCATTAATAAGGTAAATGTACCAGTGTTTCACTGAATTAATTTGAAGTTTGTCAACAAAGAAGTTTGGCAACACTGATGTGGACATTCGGCGTGAATGTCGAAGTGCGCCACGTTAGGGAACACCACTATACATGTATTTGGATTTTTAAAACTGCATCACAAATCAGATTTTTTTTAAATCGAAAATAGGGGTGGATGGGTGGGTCAAAACAATTTGGAAACAAAATCCAAATTTAAACACACTGAAAATTTTGAATGGCCCCTCACGAGATCCGAATCCAATTTACGCAGAATCCCTTGCCTGAACCTTCAGTCAGATCTCAGATGTAACGTCTAATTGTTGACTGTGTGAATCTTCTTTCTGTTTGATATTTGCAGATCTCAGGATCAGGTGAGTTTCGAATACCCTGATGAGCTCCATACGCGACATGAATCTTATGAAGCCCGGAGCCCCAGGGTCAGCCTAAGTAAGTTTAGGGACCCGTCATCTACCAGCACACCGAAGAAAAGAACGCTCACAAAATAAAACGGTACATAGTTAATTACACAAACAGAGTGGCTGGTAGTGCACAAGCTAGGCCTATACGTCCTAAGTTGGCTCTTATCAGATCTTAGGCCTATACAACGTGGTCACGTGGTCTTTGCCTATTATACACTGTTAAAAACGTTTGGCAAAATGGGTTGAAAATTCGACCAACGCTGATCGAATTATCAGTTGCCTACACTCTTGGGCAAATTCTTCCCAACAGTTTGACGGTTTTTACCCAATTCAACCCAATATGAGGCAATTTCATACCAATGCTGGGTAAATAACATTGCCCAACAGTGTTTTATCCAACCTTTTTGTTTTACAGTGTACGTACAGTTTTTGAAACAAACATTTTTCAGTAACGTATTTTATAGCAGAAATGGCAAGGGCTGGGGGTCATGAACATTGACGTATATGTTTATAGCAAAGGTTTTCCTGGTCAAGAGAAGGACGTTCAATAATAATGATCCAATTCAATTTCGTTTGAAACTGAAAGCTGTTTTACATCAACATTCATTGGTAAAATGGATCTGAGTCATTCCATGTCATTGCTTGAAACAATGAGATATGAGAATGGGTGATAATATGGAATTTGTAGGCAAAATTCGATTGACATTCTTCTCACCTGTATTTTGTTAGATTCGGTTTTGTTAAACACCGTTTGTTATATTGTATGTGATCTTGTTATCTCTAACGTCTGAGGAATTGGGACAATGGTTTTCATGTGATAAAAATAACCCCGAGGACCCAAGCCAAGTCATGGGGAGATGTTCGTGTACAAACCTTAAGGGAGATGTTGAGAACAGTTTTCAGTACAAAATAAAGAAGGTAATGGTAAGTGGTCATCAGGTGTATATCAAACAATGACTTTCGTATTCGCTTTGTTCACTTGTTTTGTTTTGCTTTCGCAGTCGAAAAGCCTGTGGAAAGTCTATAGCTTTTTGGCCATCCGTCAGGATTGCGTTTTGTATTGCTTGTATATTCGTGCTTATAACTCATATATAACATTTTATTGTATTGTTTTTAACTGATATGTTATCATTTTAACCCTGCTCTGTACTGTTTACTTGTTTTTTTTCTTTTCAATCGGTGTATGTATTGTATTTGCCTGAAATACTATATACTAAATAATAGATAATTAAGAAAGAAAAATACTTTGTGAGTAGAATTACGGAAATTTGATTGGATATATAATGATGGATTATAGCATAATGTTAAAAATCCATTCTGCTTTCGTTAATCTTTGCTGATTAATAAGCAACTCTTAGAATCTAAACCAGGGTTTCTTTTACTCACTGATGACACATGACTCTACGTGTGAGCCGGGCAATGTTGTCGTACTGGTTTTACCCTGTAACGCTAATGAATGGGCTAAATCTGGCCTGTTGCGCAGATCAAATGCATGGAATAAAAACCTTCCAGGATGTAGCCATACTATACGCTCAACGACCAGGTTAAATAGACTTGCCTTGTCTTGTTTTCTTCCAGAAAGGCATCTTACATTTTGTAATTCAATGCATACTGGGGCCTACTCTTTCTATAAGAAAGCTGCTTACATAAATCCATCTTGACATCTTTTTCTAAGTACTGTTAAGTATTTCCAGTGTAGCAAATTTGCACAGTAGTGATTCATTTTAATGATATATACGTAATGCCTGTATCGCTGGTCTAATTTAGAATATAAATATATTCCACGTAGTTTTTTAGCACTATCATGTACAGTACAATTTGTTAATACACATCCGGGGATACACATGCCGTGTAAATATTAAGTGGGTTTCGAGTTATCCTTTTTATTTCAGACATGGGCTGCGTATTGTTTTACTGTTGCACGTAACTAGAAAAACCTATACGTCACATTAACATGTTATAATCAAGCTATTATGATGATATATATTATATAGTATATACCTATGGGTCACTTTGTTTTAGTGGATAATAATTTTCGTATCATTGTAAAAAAACCCTGGTATAAACCATTCCGAGCACGCTATCACTGAGCACTCAACGTACGGATGCGCCCTCAATGTCAAAAGCACTGTGCCATTGTTAAGATAAGCCGTACAAAAGCTGGTGCATGTACAATGTAACTTGTTAGCTGTGAGCTCGTAACCCAAAAAACAAATCGTGGAAAGACGAAATTATAAGTTTTTAAAAACTTATGTTATCTTTGGAAAAAAGATTTCGGATGTTTCTACGACAACTACAATATACTGCTTTATTTACTATGCAAAGTTGTATTAATTTGTAATTTTATAGCACTAAGTTTGCATTGTTGTAAGCCTTCATTGTAGGTTTGCAAAGAAAGGTTTGTACATAAAATCTCATCGACCCAGAACTGGAATTAGTGTATGAGCTATATTGGCACTCAGGCCGTGCAGTGGAAATTCTGTGCGACTTTACTATGGACTTGCCTAGTCTAATATATTTTGTTATTAAGTGTTATTAGGCCAAAAAAGTCTCCGGTTTCTGGTATGGAGCTTGCCCAAAAAGTGGTGCGGCAACGCGGCTTTTTTTTTTTTTTACCGTTTTTTCCCCTTCAAATGTCGGCCGATGACTGCAAATGGTGCCCGACTAAACTTAGTGCAAGTATATGGGAGTCCAGAGAGGCCACATAAAGCTTTTTCTTAAATCACGTTACAATTGTGCAGCAGCAGGATTCCAGTCAAACCAGTGAGTTTGGCGGTTTTGAGACATCATCTTTCATTGAAAAAAAAAATCATTTTGCCGACGCGCATGGCTACGGCGACGCGCGCGCATGCCAGAAACCGGAGCCTTTTTTGGCCTTAGTGTTTTCCAATATTAGTCCTAGGACTTACTGGTTTCTAAGGAACTGCCCAAGTACTTTCATATTATTTGACATATTTTTCTTAAGGTACCGGTATTGCCTGTCTACCAGATTTGCATAGTAGTGATTACTTTGTGATATTATATACCTAATGCTTTCATCGTTGGCATGAATATAAACTATGTACTTTATTTGCCTATGTGTACAGTACATTTTATTACACATGCGGGAATACATATGCCGTGTAAGTAATTAATGGATTTTGATTTATCATTTTATTGTAAGCACATACGATGAGTCATAACTACCCCAAGGACCGTTATGTATACACGTTTTGTTTTACTGTTTACTTATAAGATAAAATATGCCCATGGGTCACTAATTTGTTTTAATGGATAACAAGCATGGTACGAAGACCCCTAAAGCTATTATTTAGGTAAGTCGTCATGTTGGCACAATGCTTTCGCAATTGAAGGGGTCTTCCACGAGCGTACAGCGTGTCCTCGGAATCGTCTTGTATGTGACTTAACTTCTTAGCTTGTTAGCTGTATTTCGTCAAAATGGCCGAAAAACTATTAAGCTTTTAAACATAATGTAATCTGTGGATTGTTTTTTTTATTGTGTATCTTAAACTAGGTCGTAATCATGCTACTTTATTACCTCCGCCAAGGAGGTTATGTTTTCATGTGAGTTGGGGTGTTTGCTTGTTTGTTGGTTGGTTGGTTGGTTGGTTTGTCGGTCAATAAGATAACTCAGAAAGTTATGGACGGATTTGCATTAAACTATTTTTAGGGGTGGTCCTTGGTACAAGTACAAACATCCATTACATTTTGGAAGTGATGCCGATCTGGGTCTGTATCCAGGATTTTTTAAAGGATTCTTCACCATTTATGCAATTATTTCTTTTGGGTGTACTGACAATATGGCGGGGAATTGTTTAGCCTTGGCGGAGGTTTGCGCTCTGTGAGTGCTTTCTAGTTTACAATGGCAAAGGTGTGTTAATGTTGAATGTTGTGTTACTTAGTTACAATTGGTGTGTTGTGTTACTTTGTTACAATTGGTGTATGTAGGCCCATATTGCTGGTAGTGTAAATAAAGGTTTATAAATGGCATCTTCTCGACTCAGGTTATAACTTATTATATGAGCTATTGGCACTCAAGCCGTATGGCCGGCCAAAAAGGCCAAAATTAATAAGATGTAAAACAGACGCATTAAGAGGCATACAGGACAAAATTTGAAATCAAAGAACACGTTTAAGAAAAGAACAACATATATACAAAAAAAATAAAAAATAATAATCAATAAAAAAGTTTACCAAAGAAGAGACAAACTCGAACAAAGGACAAAAACAACAAGCAAAGTATTTATTAAAACAGAAATAAAAGTCAAAATCAAACAAAGAACAAAACAATGATCACTACATCATTCAACTTGATAAAAACGAACGTCTCACCTGCAAAACGGAATTAGACGCTAGTCTAATTACAGTCGATTTCCCATCGGCCGTACGGACAAAGTTTGAAAAGGACATCATCACACACACGAGAAGGACGTCTCTGAAAACCAAAGGACAAACTTTATATTCTAACTAATACTGAACGATGAGGGCGTATCGCGCGGCCGCCCCTTGCCGCCGCGGGAATTTGAAAAGTTTAGGCACTGGTTGTCAATGTCATCAGTATGCTGATGAGTGAGTTAGGACTACGTCTGTGCGTGATGTCAAGATTTATCACAATGATATCGGTGCTGCTCAAGGGAGTGATATGTTGACGGAAAAAAGTGTTAAAATTCTCAAAATAAGCTGCGCTCTCTGTAGATTGCGCTGAATAACCAATGTACTTGTCATCCCACTTGACGCCGCGGCGGTATGGTTGCTTTGGAAATGGGTTCTGACAGTAACATTGCATCTAGAATTATTGCTGCAAGGATTGCAAGACTGCATGCAGATGGCTATCTAGACTATAGCGATACAGTTTGTAGGGCTGTACTGCAATAGCGAGAATTCCTTCCTCATTATGACTATAGGCCTATGTTGCAATCGGAACATTGACACAGGCGCGGTCGTGACAGCCACTGATGACTTTAACAACTGTCAACTAGTGCCTAAACTATAGTCCCGTGGCGTTTAATATTAGTTGGATTATAAACTTTGTACTTTGGTTTTCAGAAAAGTCCTTCTCGTGGGTGTGATGATGTCCTTCTCAAACTCTGTCCGTACGGCCGGTGGTAAATAGGGAGTAGGGAGGGAGAAGAGGGGAAAACTGGATGCCATGTCTCCAGGGGCGCTGTATAAATATTTGCATGAGCACGAATTTTTTTAGCCGCATTTAACGCCCGGCCATTATCCCCTGCAGTGTCATGTACTTTCGAAAGTACGGACGTGGTGGACGATCCGTATCTAATTGGAGCTGTACACGCAATTGTCTGTCGGCACACCCCCACCCTTGATTGGTACGGGCGTGGCAAGTGATTTGGGAAAAAGTTGACTTTGCAAACATGATTCGTTGTGGTGTAGGCCTAAAGAATATCCTCAGCTTTCATGGGTTGGGTTCAAGCAGGGGTTAGCGTCTGATTAGAGACGGGTATGTAATGTGTACAATCTGCTGACGGAATGCCTTGTTATCAACACTTGCGGTATCGACAAAACAATATTTTGTTCTCCCCCAATTTTTTTTTTTTTTGGGTTTTTTTTTGGGGGGGGGGGGTGGTGATTATAAGGTCTTTGTAATGTTTTAGCAGTTTTAGTATCTATTTTTCCTGTCAATCATATCGATTCCAGTGTATTTTTAAGCGGTGGGTTTGTGAAGCATGCGCAGTTTCTGCGAAGAAATAATATGGGGCCTTTTAGAAGGAAATATTTGACACAGTCGAAATGAAGCTGAAATTTGTCCTTGCGATTAGATCGTAGCTCCCTGGGGAAAATATATTTCCAAACGGAAAAAGCTATTTTTAGGCACAATTACAAATTGCACGATGATTGGCAGATAAGATAGTTATAAGATGTTTTTTAATCTGTTTCACTTCATATTAATTTCCGCAGTCTCACTTCATATTAATTCCTGAAATCTTGAATTTTGATAAATGCGGAGTGTGGTAGTTTTTTCCTTTAAAAAGGCAGGTTTCCCTTGCATGCGGAAATCATTAAATGAAATTTGTCAACAGATCATTGCAGTAATACGAAGCTTAGTTTTGACGTTTTGAGAAATTTTGATTTCGAAAATAAAAATGTTTTGGGGTTCGCCAGGGGATGAGAAGTGATGAATATTTGAGCATGACAGCTTAGTGTCTCTGAGAAAAGGTTTTGTATACACCTGTTAAGCACTGTCATGTGGACAAATTATACAATGTTTTGCATAACTTCCGTTCAACCAAAGCAAACAAAGAATTCTTAAGAATAACCGAAACAGTTCACAGAATTATATCGAGCTGAAAATAGTAAATTATTAATACCAGACTCTAAAACCTCTATTTATATCAGCTTGCGTAAAAAAACGATGGAATGTTTTTGAAAGTGTCTAAAGTGTAACATTAATCTGTCCCTGTTACCTTTGTAATTTGGCAGTGAAGTATGCCAATCATTAAAAAAATACTTCCTCAAAAAACGATTTCTCATTGTTGGGGTAGGTAGTTTCCTCTTCATCATCACTTTTGGAAAATGACTTCATTAAGGAGCGCATCAGAATTAAGATGTCAGATGTAACAGGGAAAAAGGGGGAAAAACGTGGACCCCAAATGCCATGTATCAAAAATTTAGCGAATAAAAAAAAAGTATTCAAGAGGGAAGGGGTGGAATCTCCTTGCGGTAACCCACCCCACCCCGGCCGCCGATGACTTTCGTGGTGACATTCCGAAATGTATGATCATCGCATCACTTTCATTTTGTTACAAAATACCTATTTCAGCAGCAAAACAATCAATGACCACAAACGTTTCTCATAGACCGAAACCATTGTTTGATTAAACACAATATCGAGAACAAAAGGAGCGATAGCGACAAGCTATGTTTTGGAATTCGATTGGAATTTCTTGAAATGCTTTATAAGTCAAAAAATGCAAAACAAAACATGTAAACGCACTGGCATAAACAACAAAACTCGTAGTAGGGTGGAAAGTTGGGGCAGAGACGGTGGAATCTTTGGTGGAGAGAAGATGGACCTTTGTTGGTTGCTTGTCACACTGGCTGTCTGTGGCCTCTGTCAGGCTCAGGATTGCCCAGACGTGGATGACAAAGCTCTCCCGCCGCGACAGACTGTTGGCGTTTGTGAATATGAGAAACCGTAAGTATCGACACTTAGGCCTAGACCTGTTTGAATAACACCTTCTAGAGTCAGACCCCCCCCCCCCAACCAGGCCCGGATTAAGTGTTTCGTAGGCCCTAGGCACCAGTGTTCCGAAGAATGGAGAAGGAAGGGGAAAGAAAGAGGGAATAAGAACAAAGTGGAGAATTTAAATAATAAACACCGCTGCTCAAAACTCCGCGAAGCTAAAATCCAGATCTGAAACCCATGGCAAAAGATTGTACATTCTGTCATGTCGGCACAAGCCGCCGCGCGAAGTCGCTTCATATACGGGGTTGACAGCTACAGCTGTACATATAAAAAATATAAAAACATAAAAAAAATCCACTATAGGATTTAAAGACCCCCCCCCCCCAGTGCAGTCTGGGATCAGGGAACAGGTCTGAACAAGGTATGCCCGAAGGTACTGATCATGTACATGCAGTTTGCGCCAATGGAATAAAAAATTACAGCTGGATTGAATTTCGAATTTTCGAGCAATTTTAAAATTAATTTCGAACGATTACAGTAAGGCCAAACAAAAGTCTCCGGTTTCTGGTATGCGCGCGCGTCGCCGTAGCCATGCGCGTCGGCAAAATGAAAACGTTTTTTTTTTCAATAAAAGATGATGTCTCAAAACCGTCAACTCACTGGTTTGACTGGAATCCTGCTGCTGCACAATTTAAACGTGTTTTTTTAGATTGGGTTATGATCGAGAATAAGCTTTATGTGGCCTCTCCGGACTCCCATATATTTGCACTAAGTTTAGTCGGGCACCATTTGCAGTCATCGGCCGACATTTGAAGCAAAAAAGACAGGTAAAAAAAAAAAACCGCGTCGCCGCACCTCTTTTTTGGCAAGCTCCTTACCAGAAACCGGCGGCTTTTTTTGGCCTAAAAGCTCTCAATATAAAAAAAAAAATATCATTCTTGCAATTGCCCTCCGATAGAAAAAAGAAGAAAATAAAACAAAAAGTTATGTGGCGATGGCCAAGTCTTCAGGAGTCGGACTTATGACCCTAACTCAACGAGCCCCTTACCGACTTCCATATAGAACTCTTCCGGGACTCGGTACCCGGCCCACCACACCTCCTTCCCTGTCCATCCATGTAACTCGAAAGCCAGGCACTATAAAGGGAGGAAACGAGGTGGCACCCTAAGCCTTGCTGCCGAGTCAGCAAAAGAACCCCGTACCTATACGCAGATGCCAACCTGGACTTCGCAGACAGTCCCAACTTGTGAGTCAGCTTACCGACTGACCGAGCTAACTGCTGTTGGTAAATGACAACGGGAAATTAATACTCTTAAATGACACAACCGCGGGCATCGAAAACCAAAAAATGTCACCAAAATCATAAAATTCGGGCGATTCACAATGCAGTGCGCCACCAAGTGTTTGCCATGGAGAGTCAGTTTTTTTCAAATTACGGTCGACAAAACAAGGCCCATTTGAATGAGTGTCTTTAAACAACTTTAGCTAAGTGGTTATAAATTCGGGTATGGCATTCTGCCGCCTTATTTAAAACACCATATTGATACAAAGAAAAGAAAAAGGCAAATTTATCAATTATGTATACTCACGCTTACATTTTTAAAAGCTTTAGCACTGTGTTTCTCCACTTTCCAGTGCTATTGAATACATTTTATTTGCTGGGACGTTCGGAAAATACCTCAAAATCCTCTTCTTCTTTTTTCTCATCACAAAAAAGTGGGGAATTATTCAATAGCCCATCCCCGCGCTTAAAAAGTGTGGGGTATATACCCCCACCCCACCATCACCCCGGGAATTACGCCCCTGATGACGGCGCATGGAGCCAACAAGCCTGCCACTCGCATTGTCTTTTTTGTGTGTCCGGGTTGCCATACGTCTTGACTCAAGTCTACCGTCATGAAAAAGGCCTTGAGATGAAATAAAGCAAATCCATGAACCTTTGGCGACTGAACGATCTAAATTGGGGTCGTATTGTGTACTTAACAAGCGAGTATAATTTTACCTGCACATGTAATACGCCAATCGGCGGTGGCGGAACGTTTTTAAAACTGGGGGCATCACCAAAAAGAGGCATTTGCTCAGAAAAAGGCACCTTCCGTCGGTGTGAAAATTGTGAAACTATTTTCGTTCACATTGCAAGGAATACATGTACCCAGAGCAAAATTTACTACCAACATTGATATACACTTTTAAAAATGTGTCCATTACATTTGAAAAGCGTAAGGAGCACTATTATTTCTTTACAGGCCAGTTTTCCATTTTGAGAGGGGCACAATTTTCTTTTTGTTTATTGCGAAAGGGGTCATTATTGTTTTCGAGGGATAGTTTTCCATCTCGAGAAGGTTCACAATCTTGTTAATGCGCGAGTGGTATTTGTGTCTTTGAGGGGCACTTTTTGCATTACAAGAGAGGAGATCATTTTTTTAACACGAACATAATGCTTTTATGTGCGTTTGAGGGCAGTTTCATTTCATCTCGAGCGGGCACATTTGTGATTTTATGTGGCAAAATGAGGAATGTCCCCAAAACCATGTTATGATTAATTAACGCCTGAAGTTGGATACACTAGGAAAATCATATAATAAGAACCGGAAAATGTCCCTGTTTAAAAAAAAAACATAAATCGGAATCCGCCCCCCCCCCTCAACATTTTCCGTGATAGCCTCTAAAAAATTTTTTTTCGCAACCCCAGCTTTTATGACTTTTTAGCCTCGAGCTTTGCGCATCTTTTGATACCAAAAACATAAAAATCGGACCACGGGTTGCCGCGTAGCGAAAAAATTTCCGGCGCTACGCGCCGTGAAAACTTTTGCATATACGGCGTGTATACACTGAGCAGAATTGCCATTCGTACATATGAATAATTAATTAGCCATAATTCCATAACCCTTTAACCTATAGTCCTGAAATTTCATGGGTATGTTTAGGAAGAGTCGCTCTATGCATGTGCCAAGTTTCAAAAATTTTCGTCACTCGATGGCCGAGATCTTAGGGGGCCGCCCCCCCCCCCCCGGCTGAGAGATGGTCAAAATAACCCGGCCCCTTTAGGGTTAAAGGACTAGAATTCAAGTCTGCCAGATGGCATGGCTTATACCGTACTTTTTGTCGAAGGTATTGTGTGTCAGGATCTAGCTTATATTGTATCGTTTCATTTCAGAATTATAGTGACCGTGAACAGACAGGTGAAAGCCGTCAGACAAGAGCCCTACAACGTTCCCTGTGGCATCCAGAACACGGACTCCTGTGTGATGCATAGGTAAGGAACTTCGCGTCCTATCATTTTACTGCTCAGCCCTTAAGTGTGCCCTTCTTTGCCTCATGTGTTCTGATCATGCTCCCTTCCCTTTCCCCTATGGGTTTCTTGGTGACTCACTTTCACAGCTTACCTCATTTTTATCCGGGTATGTTCCCTTGTTGTTGTACTTATACTCGGTACTCGTACTTGAGAACTACTCGAGTCGTTTTATCTATTTATTTATTTTTTAGAGTACTCATACTCGAACTCGAATGTCAAAGTACTCGTACTTGGGCAACAAAGTACTCCTACTCGACATGTCGAAATTGTACTCGATCGTCAGAGTACTCGTACTCGAAAAGCGGTAGCCTACTCGAAAAAAAATTGTATATATAGCTTGACTCACCACTGCCTTATTATTATCGATACGTTAAGTTGGAAATGGTTGATTGGTTTGCAGAGAAATCAAAGTTTCCTGATTTTTCTCTGTGCACCATTTTTCCGTATAGCCGTATTCGGAAATAGAAGTACTCGTACTCGTACTCGGAAATACAAGTATTCGTACTCGGAGACCTGAATTAGTACTCAGTAACTATAAGTACTCGGCAGTACTCGGGAAAAAAGGTACTCGACTTCAACACTGGTAGGTCCACCGTCCCTTTCAGAGCAGGTTTGCTCTACTCTACCACTACACTCGGAGGATCGATCTTGACCAAATGCCCATTTCTTCAGTCACATAATATCCCTGCCAATTCTGTGCACACCCGGCTACAGTCCATTCCTTTTCAGATAGATTTGTTTAAACATTGGGATGCGCCGGACTGTATAGCTGCATCATTCGCTGGTCTTCACTGCCTCTTTCCAGAGGCTCTGGATGAACAAAGTCCTTGCTCTATGATGAAACCGAGAGCCTTAGTGCTGTCTTTTGAGAAGAGGATTAAAAAAGGTCCTCCAGTCATACAATGGCTTAGCACGGGGAGCCTTCGGTTTGAATGCTAATTGAAATTCATCTATACCCCTTTCACAAAATCCCGTCAAAGAAAAGCAGAATCGCAAAGGTTCAGTCGCACATGACATGCGCACACCGTACGGTACGGAAGTGCAGACATTCGTCCAATGAGAGCTGCTCAATAGTTTGACCCCAGGTCTCCGGGTAAACAAATTTCCTAAGGGTGCAACCGGATTAAAAAAAATTCCATAAACACCAGTGATAAATCCCCATATGTCAAAAATCTTTTTAAAAATACTCAAACTCTCATAGGTGTTCAGGCTGCACAGAAAATGATAATCAACATGACATCTTTCATTTTCTTTTCAATTTTTTGGGGTTGACCATTGACTTTTCTCACCCAAAGAAGACCCCGCCTCCCTCCTAAAACGAATGATGTGTCCCAAACTGGAAAAGCAGGGTCCCTCCACAATATGGCTAAAAAGCGCCACTTTTGGACCCAACTGCATCCAAAATGCTCAGAACTGGAAGCCCCAAGTCCAAGCCAGAGGTGGCTCTCAAAACTCTCTATAAAAAATATAACATAATTTGAGTGCAAAACTTTTATTCATGAGTTCGGCGGTCGTGGCGCGGAGACCATTTTTGTAAGTTTATAGTGTGCACCTCAGTATAAAAATTCCCATATACACCAGTGATAATCCCCATACTTCAAAATTCTTTTTAAAATGCTCAAAACTCTCACAGGTGTTCAGGCTGCACAGAAAAATGATGATCAATGTGTCATCTTTCATTTTCTTTTCAATTGTTGGTGGGTTGACCATTGACTTTTCTCACCCAAAGAAGACCACCCATGAAACGAATGATGTGTCTCAAAACTGGAAAAGTAGCCAAGAAGCGATATTCCTCCATGACATGGCTAAATAGGGATACTATGTATATGCGACTTCGGAGAACTGTAACTCAGTAAAGGAAGGGGTCGACATGAACATGCATGATGAGTCTAGTCTTTTGTATTTATTTTGGAAGCGGACTTCAAAATATTCAAAATCTAAAGTTTAGTTCGATGCTAGGAAAAGAGTAATTTTGTTTAATTTGATCTGCACTTGAGGCCTATAGCATCTGCGATTATTTACTTGATACCTCAAGAAATAGGGCCTAACATATCAGAAGTCAAATCTGAAGTTCCTGTGTAAAACAAACCAAGGAAGCTTGGTTTTGTTTAAAGAGTTTCTGCTATCATCGCTTAATGACAAACTCGTTTAGGCCGTGAGAGCTGTCTGATCTTTTAAATAGCAACCGATGATGATGATTTTGTCTTGCGGTCGTATCATAAATCCGACCCCTCATAGGTCCTCATAGGACTTATGAGGTGTCGGACTTGTGAGCGAAACCCTTTGTCTTAACCAAAATCCTCTTTTCTGATGATGTGATATCATGTGGCTCGAAATTTCAGGAAGGAGTATGCCTACAATTTGACTCATTAGGGAGGTTTCGCAAGCGAACGGATACGCTTACACTTACGCTTAGCTATCCGTATCCGTTTTTTACTTACGTGTAGCGAGCGAGATATGCGTGTCGTCTGCACGTTTAGCGGATAGTGAGTGGCGTATGACGTCATACGTGCAGACGACACGCATATCTCGCTCGCTACACGTAAGTAAAAAACGGATACGGATAGCTAAACGTAAGTGTAAGCGTATCCGTTCGCTTGCGAAACCTCCCTAATGTGTGTGGGGGCCGAGGGCTAGCGAAGTTGAATTATGACGGTAACTCAACCAGGGTGACCGTACGGTCAGAGCCAAATTCTGCTAAATGCACATAAAAAAAAATCAGTCAGATTTATCAAAAATCTGCCAAACAGTGGCGTAGCCAAGGGGGGCGTGGGGGTGGGGGCGACAGCCCCCCATGAAACCTCGTCGCCCCCCCCAGTCGCCCCCCCCCCCCCACTGAGATTTTGAGTTTCTAAAAAAAATTATCATCGATCTACATGACGCCCCCCCATGAAATGTTCCAGCCCCCAGCGCCCCCCCCCCCCTGAAAAATTCCTGGCTACGCCACTGCTGCCAAATTCCCCAGAACTACTCAAAATACACTAAAAACACTTAAAATCACATGCAGATTGGTAGTATTGCCTTAATTAAGATTCAGATTACATAATAAACAATCTAGTCACATAAAGATGTTGTGAATTTATTGGTAAATTTCGGGCAAAACGTGGATTTGGCCACGTTCGAAATCCGTTTCCCAGTGAACCTCACCAGCCAACTTGTCCCATTGTGAAGGTTTGTTTGAAAGGATTGCAGTTTTTTTTTAAACAAATGTACACTATTTTTGTTCAAATTTGCTGTTTTTCTGTAAAATAACCATTTTTGCAGCTAGAATTCTGCCAGAAATCTGCCAAAAAAATCCATTCTGTCAAATTTTCTGTCAAACTTGTTTTCTTTTTAACAAAAATTCTGTCAAAGTTAGCCGAAAATCCTGAGCTCAACCGTGCTTAGCAAAGTCTGCATGTCCTTCACTAAAATTATGCGAGAAAGATATAACGGATCACCAACACCCTTCGTATGCCCGAGCATATAGTTTGAACTAAAGCTGACCCTATGGGATGGCTAATCACCCTTGCGGTGCCTTATCGAAAAATCTGAAGACATGGTTCAATGTAAGTATTATTATTCAAAAATCTTTCGTGTTATAAATTCCGCGTGGAAGGTCGAAATAAACAAACTTTCATTAAATAATATTGAAACGTCAGCCGTCTGTTTACATGAAGCTCCACAAGTATTAAAAGCATGCCATGTTTTGAGCTTCTCGAATTTAAACCCGATGACAAAATAAACTTCCGTCGACATCTGTCTGTTGACGTGAAGCTCCACAACATATTGAAAGCATGCCATGTTTTGAACTTCTGGAATTTGAGCCTGATAAAATAAACTTTGGTATGGAAACAAACAACAGTAGCCAATTTCTATTGGGTGACGTCGAACACCGTCGAAGCTTCTGTTCTCCCGTAGCCGTGGAATAGCCGTGAAAAGGAATAGCTGATAAAACATTGATATGTTTAAGGCAAATGTCTTCCAAAACTTAAAAAGTTAACACATAAAATGTATATACTGACCCGATGTCGTGACGTTGAGCACCAATAATGGATTGTGGTTCAGGCGATGTGGGGTACACGTAGTGGAGGTGTTGTCTATAGCGCAGAAACATTGTGCTCTTGTAAGCGAAGATTCTTCAACCACGGTGGCCAGGGCCATGCAATTACCAATAGGGAGCTATGAATAATTTGATAACTAGATGATCATAACGTCTCACATTAATTAAATCGTGCATCAGGTAACCGTCACATGCAACTATGATGCAAGCAACCAAAAAAAAACCAGAGCATGACGCGGCGAAGTCCAGCTCTCGCTGGACGAGCGAATATGACACAACGACTGTACCTCGATATTTAATGCAGTTAATGGGTATACGCCTGACATTGAAATTCCAATTCTAGTTTATAAACTGAACAATTAGGACTGATAGCAAGCGTGAAGCAGATTTTGATACACGAAATATCGGTAACTATGGACATTCTAGGAAACGTGCAGGTTGCTGCCTTGTCAATAATTGCCATGGCATCTACCTGACCTAAAATTTGCCAGATTAGTAAAAAAGAAATCTTAAAGTCGCAGAATACATTCTTATTTGCTTCGATGCAGACGAATGTGAAAGGGGGGGGGGGGGGTTATTGCCACGTAACCACTTGCTGTCGGTAGTAAGTTATTTTCAAGGTATTTTCGAGGGTAGGCTGGACACCAGCTGACAATGGTAAGTGTATATTCTATCACAAAATTACAGTCCTAAATTTTTGGATTTACTAACTTCACAACGATATAAGTACATTTCTTCTGTCATGAAAAGAATCAGATCCACATGAACGCATGAAATATAACCGGATTTGCTCATTTTAGTTATTTAGGCTTACGTAGTTGACTTGAAGTACAGTTAGGGCATTTGGGAATCTTGATTTCCCTGTAGGTCGGTATACTACCTGAAAACAACCCCCGTGGAAGAGCCCTCTACCGAGACGGTCCTCGAGTGTTGCCAAGGCTACACCGGCGATCCAGGCACAGGTTGCACGCGTGAGTATCTCAAGCTCAAGGGGGAAGTTCTTTCTTATTAGAAACAGAGATGAACATTTGAAAAACAAAAAAAGTTCAAACCCTAAAAACAAATGTTATAATGTAGACTTCATGGACTCTTATTATGTAAAAATAATAATATAAGTGATTATTTTCAGAATAATAATAATTAGGCCCTATAATAATAATACAAATAACACTTTCTTCTACACTGCATTTCAGTACCATGGGAGACCTCAATGTGTTTAACTATTTTTTAACAAATACATGTAGTCAGAGCAATCTATTGGAATCGTTTCTCAAATCTGTAGATTTATAATCATTTCTTAGTGACAGAAACAAAACACAGCAACACGAACCGTACATGTGTAAATCAAGCGAATCACTTCAGCTTTTCAGTTTGAGCAATTATTCCTCTTCGTGAATAATTCATTTCCCCGCAGCTACTTGTACCATCCCCTGCGCTAATGGTGGAACTTGCACGACACCAGAAGAATGTTCTTGCCCTGCAGGTTGGACAGGTGTAGACTGTAACACACGTGAGTATTCATACACTTGTGCAGGCCTATATACATTTCTTTTTTCAGAAGCCAGGCAATCGGAGTCGATTTTACTAAATCGCAACGTCATTTCATTTCTAAATCAGGACTAAATGATTTGATTGGTCGATTCGGAGGATTGTTTTGTAGTTCAACAACAGCCAGGCGTGATATCGCGTAACATGATACAGAGTGCGTGACATATTTTTGTTTATCCATTGTCTATGACGCGCAACTGGTGAATTACCGAAGACCCGATATAGAAATCGCACTCTGATTTACGAAATCTAGGAGGTCAAGATGCGGGGTCCTGCCTAATTAATCAGCGACATATGTTCACGCATAATAGATTCGCCGTGGTCTATTACATAGTCTATTAACGACTAGGATTCGAATCTGCAATGAGTCGAAATTTCGATTTGGATTGGACATCGACAAAAAGACTCGGAACCGGACTCGGACTCAGACTTCGACTCGGACTCGACCATTATGACTCGAACTTAATAATGACTCGCATCTAGCCAGTAACATATTTGTTTTACCAAAAATGTCCTTTGGAAGCATATTTCTGATGTTCTTTTTTCGAAAGTAGACCCAAACATTTAACAACAAATATTATTTTTTGCAACACCACCTGAACATCTCTTTAGCGTTGCTTATATTAATGTGCCTCTTCCTATTATACTCCCGGTCCCCGCAACAGCGCGTTACACGTTCATCTCGAACATAATGTGACTCTTATACTCTGACTCGGACTTGTGACTCGATCGGAGTCGGATTTTAACCAATTGACTCGGGACTTGGACCCGGGCTTCGACTCGATTGACTGAAGTAGAACACTTCTTTTAATACTGGTTCTGTACAACATGTGGAAGTTACACGAGAGAGTTGCACTGGTGTCTGTTCATGCAGGTGACATGATCTTAAGCCATAGAGGCCTATACAACTCTAGGGTAGACAAAATATGTTCGTTTGTTCCTGTAAAGTTTTTGCTCACGGAGATCAGCACCCTCCTTTCGAAGATACCTGAGACACCTATTGCGTATATTTCAAAACCCACTGAATTATCAAAAGACGGGTGCGTCGTAAATGTTATTCCCAAATGAGATATGAAACCAGGCGATTTAGAATTCGCATCGATGATTAGGAAATACTTTAGGTTTTGATTCATAAAACAAATGTGTATGACGAGATCATGCGCATAACATAGTGAACGATGACAGCATCGGACGACATCACACATGTTAAACGCTTGCGTTCATCGTCAAACTCTATTTAAACGAAAACTAGTCACGTGAGTGTAAGGAGTATGTCGTTTGAACAAGTGTTTATTTACAGAGTATCCTCACTGGCTAGGGTAATCTTTCTCTCGTAAATTGGTAGCCTTGCAAACCGATTCCACATTTACTATTTTCAACTTGCGTGATTAATTATTCATGACACTTCCAAATATAAATTGACACAATATCTGTCCAATCGGATCACGTTTTACAAAAGCTTAACACCGACTTGAACTAATAAATACCGTTTGGTTGGACAACCATCCCTAACTCGCGCTTCACACTGGGTTTTGACTGCCTAATAGGCTATGTAGCAAAATGCACTTGCCCGCTCAAGTCCTCACTCCATTGCAAAAAAATCTCTACCCAGTTCTAGAGGGGCTGAAAGAAACTTCACTGGTGATTTTGTAGGTCTGCTCCAGAATAATAATAATTATTCCCGTACGTACACAACGATCGCTATAATTGTTTTGCCTAAAAATTGTCCCACGAGCCACCTTTAACGCTCTCTTCTATTGGCTAATAATGTTACAGGAAAAAAAATGACCTCGCAGATCACGAACCATTAATATTCGGTGTGTATGGAAACGTCACAAAATGTACGCAGACAATATCATGGATGACAACGATTTTCAAAATAGTAATACGTGAACACAGTTCAGCAGGGACGTTTTATGACGTGAGAGTTAAGACTACCCTGGCTAGCGAGGATTGGGAAATACAATTCATGGAATTTGGTTTAATGTAGGAAGACTCAAGGTACAAAACGTTTTACGTGTATTTGAACCAGTCTCTGTTACATAATTTCACTTTATACCATAAACTAAGTTGGTGTGATACTCTCTAAATTCCAAAGAGCGAAACTTCACTACATTGGAGTGAATCAGATTCATTCCAACAGTGGGAAACTAGGAACTAGACGTTTTAGAGTGAAATTTCTTCAATCGTAAAGATCGAGTTTTCACTCGAACTTCGACTGAAGTGGTTCATTTTTCAGCCTGAAGTGGTTCATTTTCAATCAAAAATTAGAGTGATTTTCACTCTAAAACGTATAGACCCTAATATCACTCTTTGGAATTTAGAGAGTATTCTTGTGGATGAGTGAATTTTACCGATTCAACATGAACCAGAACCAGAACTAAGTTTATCATTTTTGACATTTTTAAGCAGTGTCTTTCACCCAAGCTTTCGCGTGTTTGTTGTCCTTGTACAGCTTGCCCGACCAACACATTTGGCGTTCAGTGTTCACAAAGGTGCACGTGTGAAAATAACGGCAGGTGTAACCGGTTTACAGGAGAGTGTCAGTGTCCGCCGGGTTATCAAGGGTTTCACTGTGAAGACGAATGTGCAGATGGTACTTATGGTTTACGGTGCCAGTTTCTTTGTGAGTGTCACAACCTGGCAGCTTGCGATGTCGTCACTGGGACATGTTCTTGTGCATCTGGCTTTCAGGGGCAATTATGCGAGGAATATTGCGACCAGGGTTCGTACGGGCCTCAGTGTAGCAGGACTTGTCGTTGTCAGCCCGGTGCCTACTGCTATGCCGAAGACGGGAGTTGCTCTTGCCCTCCTGGGTACACAGGGGACTTTTGTGAGAACGAGTGCAGCCAAGGGTTCTACGGTGTAAATTGTCAGTCTCCATGTATGTGTGAAAACAATGCTGCTTGTGACCACGTTGATGGAAGGTGCACATGTCCTCCAGGGTATACTGGCTTGACATGTAGAAGTATCTGCTCTCCCGATATGTTTGGGCAGGACTGTCGCCAGCGATGTACTTGTCAAAATGGTGCTTGTCATCATGTAACTGGCGTTTGTTCTTGCTTCGACGGCTGGACGGGTGCCAATTGCGACGCCCCATGTAGAGCCAATTACTATGGCCGAAACTGCTTAGAAGAGTGCCAGTGCTTGAATGGAGCATCCTGCCACCACATGACTGGGGTGTGTCAGTGTACAGCCGGCTGGGTAGGAACATTCTGCCGAGATCCATGTCCACAAGGTAGGTTTGGCATGGATTGTACTTCGCCATGTCGCTGTGACAACGAAGCTGCTTGTCATCATGTTGACGGAAGTTGTCGTTGTAGGCCGGGCTGGAAGGGGGCTGTCTGTAACGAGCCATGTGCTATGGGCTTTTACGGTCTAGAATGCGCTGAGAGATGTCAGTGTCGAAACGGGGCAGAGTGCAACCACATTTCGGGAGCCTGTCGGTGCACTGCAGGTTGGCAGGGCCGGAACTGTGAAAGGCCATGCTCCGAAGGTTTCTACGGACTGGGATGTAACAGAGCATGCCGGTGTCGAAATGGTGCCGATTGTAGTCACATTGATGGAGAGTGTTCTTGTACTCCTGGCTGGCAAGGACAGTATTGCGACGCGCCCTGCAATCCGGGTCGTTTTGGGTACGAATGCAGAATGGATTGCCTTTGCCAAAACAATGCTGCTTGTCACCACGTTAGCGGTTTATGTACTTGTTCACCTGGATTTACCGGTTCTACTTGCTCGGATATCTGTCCCATGGGCTACTTTGGTCAGGATTGTCGCAGTGAATGTCAGTGTCAAAATGGTGGCGCTTGCCATCACGTAACGGGTGTATGCAGCTGTACAGCGGGCTGGCTTGGGCTCACCTGCTCCGACCCCTGCCCACAAGGTAAATATGGATTGGACTGCGGAGACAACTGCATGTGTAAGAATGATGCACTTTGTAGCAACATCGATGGCAGCTGCAGCTGTGCGCCAGGATGGCAGGGAACAATATGCGATCAGCCCTGCGGTGCTCTTCGCTATGGTACAAGATGCGAGAAGATCTGCAGGTGTCAAAACGGTGCCATTTGTAATCACATTGATGGAATGTGCACATGTACACCTGGATGGCAGGGAGTGTTCTGCGATGTACCGTGTGATGACGGTTTTTATGGCCACAACTGTGCTAAAGTATGCCGCTGCGTAAACGGTGGTATCTGCGATACCGTGACAGGAGCTTGTACTTGTCCTCCCGGCTGGAGGCTATTTTGTTCTGACCCGTGCGAGTCGGGCTTCTTCGGTCAAGACTGCAGTGGAGTCTGCAGGTGCCAGAACGGCGCAGAATGTAGTCGGTTTGACGGAACTTGTACTTGTACGGCAGGTTGGTACGGTGCCTCTTGTGATAGTCCATGTCGGCCAGGGCTTTATGGTCCCGGATGTGAACAAAACTGCAGATGCAGAAACGAAGCGACTTGTTCTCGTTTCGATGGAAGTTGTTCTTGTGCTCCAGGATGGACAGGACGGTTTTGTGATACACCTTGTCGTGAGGGCTTCTATGGTGCAGACTGTACCGAGGAATGCACGTGTGTAAACAGCCTCTCTTGCTCACCCTTTGATGGCACGTGCTCCTGTTCAGCTGGCTGGAAGGGCCAGAACTGCCAAGACCCGTGCGATAATGGCTGGTATGGTCCGGGATGCTCATCGCCATGCCAATGTCGAAATGGCGCGTCCTGCTCAAGAATAGACGGCGAGTGTTTTTGCACAACAGGCTGGCAGGGGCGTTACTGTGAGGATGAATGTGATAGAGGTACTTTCGGCCCAGGATGTACTGAAACTTGCCAGTGTCAAAATAACGCCCCATGCAGTCGGTTTGACGGCACGTGCGAGTGTAGCCCTGGTTGGATGGGTCTCCAATGTAATATTGCATGTCCTAGAGGATTTTATGGTGCCAATTGCGATCGTGAATGTGGCTGTTCTAACGAAGCATCCTGTGACAGGGTCACCGGTGAATGTGTGTGTACTGCAGGCTGGACGGGTCGTTTCTGTGATACGGCTTGTTCTAGAGGGCTCTACGGTCCAAATTGCGAGAGCAACTGTTTGTGTGAAAATGACGCTTCCTGCAATCGCTTCGATGGGACTTGTCAGTGTTCTGCTGGCTGGACTGGAAGGTTTTGCAACTTGGCATGTGAGCGCGGAAGATGGGGAGTGGCCTGCAGCGAGGCATGTCAATGTCAGAATAATGCAGCTTGTTCTCGATTTGATGGCTCCTGTTCTTGCTCTGCGGGATGGATGGGAAGAGCGTGTGACATTCCTTGTAGACACGGTACTTATGGCATCAACTGCCAAGGCACCTGCTCGTGTATGAATGAAGCGTTCTGTTCACGGTTCAACGGTGCATGTCTCTGTCCACCAGGATTCATGGGATCTTCTTGTGAGCAACCCTGTCCAGAAGATTTCTACGGTCTTCAATGCAAGCTCCCCTGTACATGCGCTAATCGTGTAAGCTGCTCTCCAGTGGATGGTAGTTGTATCTGTCAAGCTGGATGGATGGGAGACCGGTGTGACACAGAATGCCCTCATTCACGATGGGGTGTTGATTGTTCTCAGTTTTGTTCCTGTAGTAACAATGCTGGATGTAACAGGTTTACCGGCGAGTGTGCTTGTGGAAGCGGTTGGACTGGTAAGGATTGCAACATCGAGTGCTCAGTAGGGTTTTATGGAGTCAACTGTCTTCAACGGTGTAGTTGTGCTAACAATGCACCTTGTTCTCGATTTGACGGTTCTTGTAGTTGCGGACAAGGCTGGACTGGCCCTAACTGCAACGAGCCCTGTGAGGCTGGGTTCTTTGGAGAAAATTGTCAGCACGCTTGTGGTTGCCAGAATAGCGGGAGCTGCAATAGGTTTGATGGTTCATGTATTTGTCCCAGCGGTTGGGAAGGGACGTTTTGTAACCAGCCATGTATGGAGGGGTTCTATGGCAGAAACTGTGAGAACCGATGTGAATGTCAGAATGGTGCTTCATGCAGCAGATTTGATGGGTCTTGCGAGTGTGACGCAGGTTGGACAGGATTTGAATGTGATCAACCTTGCGGGGACGGAAGGTGGGGACCGGGCTGCATGCAGCGTTGCTACTGTCGGAACGACGCCACTTGTTCTAGGTTTGACGGGGTATGTTCGTGTACTACAGGATGGATGGGGCGGTACTGTCATCTGCCATGTACCCAGGGAAGACATGGTCCAGGTTGCACAGCACTGTGCCAGTGCAGGAACGGCGCCCTGTGTGATAGGTTCACTGGACGATGCATGTGCACTTCCGGCTGGAAAGGTGTCTTGTGTGACATTGAGTGCGACGAGGGCACGTACGGTACCAACTGTGCCCAAACCTGTCGATGTGAGAACGGCGCCCGGTGCCACCGCGAAACAGGAGCGTGTTCGTGTTCTCCCGGTTGGCAAGGAGAATTTTGCAATGAACCTTGCGTCGGTGATAGATTTGGTCTGGATTGTCAAGATCAGTGCGACTGCCGCAACGGTGGACTCTGCGACGCGATCACTGGGGCTTGCAACTGTCCAGCGGGCTGGTATGGGTTGACATGTGAACAAAGATGTCCTCCGATGAGATACGGTCCAGGATGCTCTCAGATCTGTCGATGCTTGAATGAAGCAAGTTGCGACCCGTCGACGGGCAGGTGCGAATGCCTGTCGGGTTGGATGGGTACTCGTTGTGATGTCCCATGTCAGCAAGGCAGATTTGGTATTGATTGTCTGCAGCAATGCGACTGTGAAAACGACGCCAAGTGTTCTAGATTTGATGGGACCTGTGTCTGTCCACCAGGCTTTGTAGGTCAAAGGTGCGAACGGAGGTGTTCCGGAAATACGTTTGGTCTGGAGTGCACTGCTGAGTGTCAGTGCCAAAATGGTGGCATATGTTCAACGTTTGACGGATCCTGCATTTGCCAGAGTGGTTGGATGGGTCAGTTGTGCCAAATACCCTGTGATGAAGGCTTCTATGGACCATACTGCAACAGTCCGTGTCGTTGCTTTAACGGTGCCACCTGCTCTCGGTTTGACGGAAGCTGCGCATGCACAGACGGCTGGACGGGCTCCTCCTGTAACATCGTCTGTTCTGGCGGGCGCTACGGACAAGCGTGTGCACAAAGATGCCAGTGTCAGAATGGTGCTACATGTCATCACGTGACTGGTGCTTGCACGTGCACGCAAGGATGGACTGGCCCATTCTGCACACAAAGAGGTAGGCCATTTTAATTACCAGGCATTTTCTTTATCTAAAATATTTCTGAAAGGAAGTGATTCATGTGACGATTCATAGAACAGTGCACCCGGGTTCTCTTCGATTCGTCATTGTGTACTTGCGATACGACTTCCACACAAACGCACGAGTGCCATAAATGGCGAAAACGAAGAGTTACTGTGCTGAGCATAAATATGTAAGGGCGTTAACAACCTTTATATTCCCGATGCAGAACCACAAATGTTGCATGTACATGTATTGTGAATTTAAAATGAAAAATCACCGATCGTGCTAGATCTTATAAATTTCCCTAGTTAGGGACGATGTTATTTGCTTTTCAAGAACAAAACTGTGAAAAGTAAAACAAATGTGACTATGCATTTATTACATTTTGGTCTTTACTACATGTAATAGACTACTGCCACCGGAACTTTTGAATGTTTTTGGACATGATAATTCTCTGAAGCTGAAATTAGTGCACACTATCATACATATTACCACTTAATTTTAATCGTTCTACCTCCAAATTGATCAAACCACAATGTTCAGATTATGCAGGTACAAATTAATGCTGATATTTTCTAGATTTTTTTCGTGGAAAAAGCTAAAGAATTATCATAGTAGTCCTTACAGCAGAAATTACGACCCAAACATCTGTTGTAGACAAGACTTTGATTGAAAGTGACACAAAAGAAGAGCACACATTAATGTGGAAAACAGAGATGACACTGCTAATAATGTTTGTGTTTTGTGACTGTTCGCCGTTTCAAATTCGACTCACAGTTCAAGAAGAAGTCATTGGAATCGGTAAACGACAGACAGTAGCCGGGCGGGTTGTCACTTGCAATCAGGCCAGCATCTTCCCTTTGAACGGATACCACTACTTCGAATGTCTGGATATCCGGTAAGCATACAGTTAACCAGGTAAAAAGACAACGTTCTTTGAGATTTCAAGAAGAAAATGCTGCTAAGCAAACTGATGATAAGATATCTTAACCAAAAAAATATCCCGAGCAGTTATCGTAACTTGATTTTTAGTTTGCCAGTGAATGTTGTTCAAGCAAATTTTCTTTATGGACTAGTTTATAGTTCCAAATTGCCCTCCCCCGCCCGTGGCTGTGGGCAACGGTCCTGTCAGAAAAAAAATGAAATGCGAAGATAATTTATATAGAGTCCCCTATAACGTGGCGTTCTTCGATGTTCGCCTCGACTTTCCCCTTGTAGTTTTGCACAACCTCTTTGTTCCAAAAAAATTAATTCATTAAGTTTTACCTTAATAACGGTTGCTGTTGAAACTTTTGGAACAATTTTTAGTCTCACCAAATTAAGATCGAATATTAATAACTGTGTCGGTCGGAAATTGGGCCCAAGTTCGGCCGCGTGCTCCCTAACGTGGCGCACTTGAACGAAATCCTGAGTTTATTGGTGATTTCTTTCTTAAGTTGAACAATTCTGATAAGTCGTTATTATATTCACTTACATACCCTATTACAAGTTTGTCAGAAAATTATCTTCTATTTTTGGGGCGCCTTTTAAAAGGGTTCACTGTTAGTTAAAGGGATATCGGAAAATTACGGCAAACTAAAATTTCTCTGGAAACGGGAATGTTTAGAGCTTGATTACTTACTGTGAAATTTGAAATAAAAAATCTCTAGCAAGTCACTATAGAGGCAAAAAATCCAAATGTGCCACGCTGGGGGCCGCGCCACGTTAGGATACATCAACTGTACGACCGGTCATGAAAAAAAACTGAAAGATTTCCAACATAACTTTTGTTCAGCGTTGATAACAACTTGAGGTTTCCCAACACCATCACTTGTCGTAATCTGTGGGTAGACCGAATAATCGACAGCACGAGTCCAGGCTACACGGAAAGAACGGATCACTTGGATTTCTGCATCCATCTTCTCAAAGCCAACAAGTTGGACGGTCGATTTGAAGACAGAGACGTATCGGTAAGTGATGTATTGTGATGCCAATCTCAAATTTGGTATAAATCCGACCGGTTTTGGACACAGTCCGTCAATTGGGGTTTAATCGTCTACGTCATTTAAATTCCAGAGTGATTAGGGACTAGACGTTTTAGAGTAAAATTCACTCTCCTTTTCGATTGAAATAGTCTGTTATTAAGATGGAATTTGTTTGCGTCGGGGTGATATAAATCAAATTAGGTTTTGCCCTTCACCGACGTTTTAAAACACTGTATACTCAGTGTGTTACCTCCCGAGTGAAAGTTGGAAAAAATCACTCGGGCGGGACTCGAACCCACGACCTCCTGCTTTCTAGTGCAGATGTCTTACCACTCGACCACCGAGCTAACGGGATCGGTTGGCCGGTTCGAATCTAATGTGCATAGCAGCGGGTACTGCATAAACTATTATAAGATGGCATTTTGAGTCGGGGTGATATAAATCAAATTAGGTTTTGCCCTTTACCAACGTTTTTTTTGAAATAGTCTGAAAAATGAACCACATCAGTCCGAGCTCGAGTGAAAACTCGATCTTTACGATTGAAGAAATTTCACTTTAAAACGTCTAGTCCCTAGTTTCCGACTGTGGGAGTAAATCTTCACTGGAATGGAGTGAATTTTCACTCTTTGGAATTTACAGAGAACCTTGCTTGTTGGAGAATACAACCGACAATTAAATGGGCTAATACAGGTCCAAGTCCGCCGAAGGAGGAACTTCGAGTCTCCCTAGCCACCTCTCCTCAGGACACCAAGTTCTCTTAAAGTAGTTGTGTCACCATCTTCGTCAGACTTTGTGCGTTGGCTGCACGAAAACGTAAACATAAGTTTGCCCGACCGACTATTGTGAATTAGACTTAGTTGCACCTCGGCCCAAAAGTTTAAAATGCACGAAAAGACTTAGAGTAAAATCAGAATTGTTAGTATTGTGTGCTCTGAGAACAGAATCACTAATTTGTATTACTTCTTTTTTTGTTTAGATCGAGGCTCGATATACATGTTCGAAGACTCGTGAAACCCGAATCCAATGGCTGTACAGCAGCTGGCGATATGGCGGTTCACAAGATGCCGGCTACACGCAGGATCTACGATGCAAAGTGCCATTAGGGAAACTCGAACTTCCCTAGAAAAATTAAGCTTACCACAGTTTTCTATTTTATATAAAAAACTACATAATTACATTATATAAAAGAACATATTTTATATAATGTAATTAAAGATGTACTGTCCGAGTAAATTTCGAGTTTCAGCCAGAACAGTTTTTGTTTTTCAAATTTTGTTGCTTTTATTATTTTTATTTTTATTTTGCAATAAAGGAGTTATTCACTTCTTTAAAATAACCATCCAAGCTTTCATAACTATAGAAACTTTTGTTACTTCAGAAAAGGAATTTATTTGTGGCACTGATGTCGCCCGAGAAAACTGGCTCCCGCCCTCTTTGTATTCGGTGTTAGGGATCAAGAACCAGTCTACTCGCAGAGTAGATCTGTTTGTGCCATAAAGCAATCCAACATAATGCCCTGTTTTCAGAAGGCTGTAGGCGCTAAACAGTCAATTTGTTTAAATACAAACAAACAAGTTAATATTTGTCACAGCAAAAAACGTCGAATTGAAAGTTAAAGAGCACGGACAGTACATCTTTAAAGAACTTAAGCGACAAACTGAACCTCTCTCATGATAATTATGCGTGTAGGCTTAATGTAACTTCTACATAGTTAAAGTTTGGTTCATTCTTGCATATTTTCATTCTAGCAATTTGTCAAGATACGGAACATTTTTGAAGTTTCCACAATATTACAATCCTGGAACCAAGGATAGTAAAGGATCTTGAACAGTAACTTAACGCTCATCGGTAGGACAGTTAAAGACCAGTGACGCACCCGGGGGGGGGGCCTTGGGGGCTTGAGCCCCCGCCCCCAAAGGTTGTCAATTGTTTTATTTTTTGGTAATTTTTTTGGTCCCACGATTTGACCTTGGTGGTAATGTATGTGGCCTATTTTCGAGTATAGTTTAATAGGGGTGGAAGTGGCGCCAACAATGTCAAAATAGTCGCCCCTCCCCCCTTTCTGCTGACAAAAAAATTTGGCAACATTTTTTTTTACAAAATTAAACGTCTAAAAAATTTGGAAAAAAAATTGTGAGCCAACCCCCCCCCCCCCAAGCCAAATCCACAGTGCTCCACTGTTAAGGACTCCGGATAGTAACTTAAAGCTCACCGGTAGAAGTGCATTAATAATACACTAAGATTATTATACGTTAAAGTTTCTTTATCAAATTGCTGCTCTTAGAGGCTTAGGTCGGGTCGGATCTAAAAAAAAGTGTTCACCTTCCTTAAACCTCTTTGGTTTTGCCGCGACCGTACGGGTGTGAATGCAGAGGAATACTCTAAAATGTTCCTGGTCATATTGACCCAGAATCCAGGTTTTATATGGCCTAAAACATTTTAGGGTCTTTACCTGGGCCCAATTTCGTGGCTCTGCTTTATTATACCGTTTTCAAAAAATACATTGCTGCTTACTGTGGCAGACAATTCCGCGCTTGCGGTAGGCGTATTTTATTTGTTCCTGCGCATGCGCACATCCCGTAACTAAGGATTCTTAACACAGAATGGTTCTGTTAGCGCGGTTAGCGCAAAACGGCGATGGTAAGTACTAGAGATCTGTGGTATAAGTAAGGCCGTGACATTGGGACCGGGTCAAAGTGACATTTCTTTTTGCGAAAGAAAGTCATTTTGACCGAAAGTGCTATTTTGACAATGGAAATAATTAGACTACATTTCTTTCGTAAATAGAACCTGGACCCTGAGTCAATTCTCACCATAGTCGGTTTAGAGTCTGATATTGTAAGTGCTGAAAGACCATTTGCAATAATGAGTGCGGATTTTTTGGGGGAAAAATAAACGTTGCTATCCATGTAGGTATTTCATCGGGGCCCGGCGCACTATGAGCTATTTGAATTCAATTCCAGTTGCTCAGATACTGCGATAATTAATGGTAATGCATCATATTATGCATCAATGTTGGAAGCCTTAGTTGTAATGGTAATAAGAGAAAGACAGGTCCATGCAGGATTTTAGGTTCATGCAGCTCGAAATGATTGGCCAGTAACTCTTATTTGTGTGTTTTTTTTTCACCAGGCCCTTTTTTATCTTGACATATAGTGTTAAAAAATGTCCGCTTAGGCCAAAAAAAATAAGTCTCCGTTTTCTGGTATGGAGCTTGCCCAAAAAGTGGTGCGGCGACGCGGCTTTTTTTATTGTTTACCTGATTTTTTTTGCCTCAAATGTCGGCTGACGACTGCAAATGGTGCCCGACTAGACTCAGTGCAAATACATGGGAGTCCAGAGAAGCCACATAAAGCTTATTCTCGATCATAACCCCATCTAAAAATACGTTAAAATTGTGCAGCAGTCAAACCAGTGAATTTGGCGATTTTGAGACATCATCTTTCATTGAAAAAAAACCTTTTTCATTTTGCCGACGCGCATGGCTACGGCGACGCACGCGCATACTGCACGCGCAGTACCAAAAATCTCAGTACCAATTTTCTTACACATTTCTTTCCAGTCGGCTACTGCTAGCGTTCCACACTTTCGCAAGATCATGATTTGCTTTTTTTTTTTTGGGGGGGGGGTTACATTGAGGACTTGTTTTATTCCAATGAGGACTTCTTTTGGTCCAAGGAGTCCAGGATTAGTAGCTTACACTAAGGCGGCTCAACACTAAACACCTTCTTGAGAATAAAAAGTGAGTCGTTTCAGATGCGCACGCTATATTTATTAAACCGCAAAGCTTCTACAATTTCTATGTCTGCAACACTTAAAAATTGCCTGGGTTAATTTTACCCCAAAAAGGGTGAAAACTGGAACTACCCAAACTTGGGTTGATCTATAACCAATTGTTTGGAGATATAATTTATGTTAAATTCAACCAAAAGTTGTACTCATACAAGACGGAATTAATTTGGTCTTGAAGGACCACACGTTTTGATTGAATTTAGCAGAAATTCTAACCCAAACAATTGGTTATAGAACAACCCAAGTTTGGGTGGTTCCAGTTTTCACCCTTTCTTTGGTAAAATTAATCCAGGCAATTTTTCAGTGAATAAATCACACAACATATCTTTATTTAGCTAAAGCGATATAGCTTACTTTCTCAAAATGATACACAAATCTAAGTACTTTAATCAACCGAACCTGTAGTTGTCGATAATAATGCATCCAATGATCCAATGGTGCATCCACGCAGTTTGCGTGGAGTGACTCGACATCTTTTGTCGCTTTTTTTATCGGAATAACATTCACAAATATTCTAAACACTGTTTTATGCGTCAAGCTGGAGTGATCAAACTCCATGCAGCTTTTGTTTTTGCAAAAAAAAATAATTCCATTGAATACACCATCAACTTGTGCTGATCTTTACTATTGGTCGGTTATTAAACAAGTTTATGACAAAGGAACCAAGAATGGCAAAAATCAACATCACATTCATTTTCAGTAGTCGATTTTTTGTTGGATATTGTCAAAACAGCTGCTATAGTGCAAAATTTGGCTATAACTACAATAAATTGTTAACTATTTAAAAAAAAATGATAAAATGCTGTACGAAGTTTGCCTGATAGGGAGACTTCGCTTTTCTAGAAATGTCAGGTTTCCATTATTTTTACCAACTGAAGTTTACTGATGAAAAACGAAATTGGAAAATTTGTTATACCGTTTACTGGTTTAATTTATTTAAAATTTTGGATGAAAGTCACAGACTGTGCTTAAGGCTACAATGTGTTTGAGTGACATCCACATTTAGATTCAATTGTAACTGCCAGCACACTCACTTATTGAAAAAATCATTCACACTGTGTATTCTTATAAACAAATTTACGAATTATGAGATATAATTGTAAACAAGGTTAGCATTGTCAAAGTCGACCGCAGTCGTTTGGGGAGTTGCTGTTGATTTTCGTGACTTTGGACCCAAGAACCGGAAATTCGTTGTGTTTTAACTCACGACTTTTTCTTTGTGGGATATGAAGAAGAAAGATTGGAATGAAACAACCCCTTAGCGATACGGTAGAACTTTGAAGCAAACTTGATTATATTATATAGTTAATGATAACAGTATACGGTTAACGAGTTACAGAAAACTAAGTATTGTAAATTACGCTACTCATTATGATAGAAATAAAGAGCAAACAACAAGTGAGAAAAACATAATTGATACACGTTGTATAGGACTTTCTGAGTAATGGAGCAATGCATAAACTCAACGTGGTATAAAAAAAGTATTTTAGTTGTTTGTTTGCTAAGACTGATAAATTGTTACTGTGGTGGTTCAAACCTTACTTCTACAAAATAGTGAACATTCACATCTTAAGAATTCTAATGATATGAATGTTGTTTCACGTCGAATTAAACATTACAATTTATTTTGTGTTGCTTATAAAATATGTCCCATGCCAGAATTACAGGGATTACAGGCTGATGATTAAACTGTTTTTATTTCTCGAAACATGCAGTCAAAACTAGTCTTCAATCCTGTTGGGGTACTTTGAGTAAGGATCCTCGTTTTTGGTTAGTTTTAAAGAATTTTTGGTCGCGGATGCGCCGATTGGAGATCTATGCATCGAAATCAAACGAAACAAATTTTAAAATGGATCGCAAAAATACGCCGCACTTCTTGTGAAAACACTTTTTATGGCTTATTTTTTTCAACTTGGGGGAGGGGCAATATGTTGGGCTATTCGTACAAAATCATGGGCAAAGCCCAATGTTAAATTGCCAAATGAAGAGTTATTTATACAGTGATTGAAAAATTTAATCTCACCCCGATATTTTATAGGGAAAATTAAATGACAACAAACTTTGAAACAAATTTCGATCGATGTCATAAACTAGACAACCACTTAACTTGTTAAGAGAAATTTGTGGAAATTAGAGGCAAAATTACCTTGTCTTATTTGCCAGTTATAAGTAATTGTTCTCCTGAAAATAAAACGCAAAACCGAAAGTAGATAATAGAAACATTTAACACACGTGAAGGATGGGGCTGTCACACTCAGATAAACGAAAAAGAAATTCGAATCCTAAATTTCAGTGAACTTGACTCCATATACGTCGTCATAATGAGACACATCTGTTCCTCAATTTTGCTCTCATGGTTGCGAGCCAAAAACACAATCCACCAAGTCCGCAAACT